TAATTGGACACACAACTGCCAAGTTTCATGAATCTAACTTTATTACTTTTCCAAATATTTAAAATAAGCTTTTGGACTTGTATGGGAGCCACTCGAACATGTCAAGCAATTCCACCAAAACTTCAGAAATATCTTTGACCTATAATTGGACACACAACTGCCAAGTTTCATGAATCTGTCTTTATTATTTTTCCCAATATTTAAAATTAGCTTTTGGAGTTGTATGGCAGGTACCCGAACCTGCAAAGCAATTTCACTAAAACTTCGCAAATATATCTGATCTATAATTGGACACACAACTGCCAAGTTTCGTGAATTTGGCTTTATTATTTTTTCAAATATTTAAAATTAGCTTTTGGAGTTGTATGGCAGGTACCCGAACCTGCCAAGCAATTTCACTAAAACTTCGCAAATATATCTGATCTATAATTGGACACACAACTGCCAAGTTTCATGAATTTGACTTTATTACTTTTTCAAATATTTAAAATTAGCTTTTGGAGTTGTATGGCAGGTACCCGAACCTGTCAAGCAATTCCAATAAAACTTCGCAGGTATATCTGATCTATAATTGGACACACAACTGCCAAATTTCACGAATATAACTTTTTTATTTTTTCAAATATTTAAAGTAAGCTTTTGGACTTGTATGGGAGCTACTCGAACCTGTCAAGCAATTCCACCAAAACTTCAGAAATATCTTTGACCTATAATTGGACACACAACTGCCAAGTTTCATGAATCTGACTTTATTATTTTTCCAAATACTTAAAATAAGCTTTTGGACTTGTATGGGAGCCACTCGAACCTGTCAAGCAATTCCACAAAAACTTCAGAAATATCTTTGGCCTATAATTGGACACACGACTGCCAAGTTTCATGAATCTGACTTTATTATTTTGCCGAATATAAAAAATTTTCTGTTGGAGTTGTATGGCAGCCACCTGAACCAGTGCAACTATCTCATTAAAATTTTTAGAGCATATGTAGAATATAATTGGACACATGTATACAAAATTTTATATTTGTACCTTTATTAGTTTTTGAAATAATTAAAATAAACTCTTTGAGTTGTATGGCAGCTACCCGAACCCGTTGTCCGAATTGGTCCAATAACAATAGGGTTCGTCCTTGGCAGAAAAGAAGCAACTTGTGAAAGTTTGGTGTCGATTGCATTATTCGTTTTTGAGTTATCGTGCGATCGGACGGACGGACGGACGGACGGACGGACGGACATGTCTAAATCAACGCAGAATTTTACGCTGAGCAAGAATATATATATATGTCCATACCGCAGATGACTCCTTCAAGTAGTTACAAACTCCATACCAAAGTTAATATACCCTTCACGAAGTGCAGGGTATAATAACGAAAAGAGAATGAAATCATATGTTTGATTATTCGAACATAATGATCAGATTAATGTTGAACGAATTTTAGGTCGATTTAACAACACTATTTTAACTGAATAAAGTGTGTTCTATTTTACAGAATTAGTTTATGACCCAGTTTTAAAACAGTATATCAATTTCAATAAAGAAATAAAGCTTTGTATATATGTATGTACATGTACACTTAACCAAATTAATATGTTATACCGGGGGGGGTAGGCGTGACAGTACTTTAAAAGTAAGGTGATAGAATGCCACCACACCAACAAAAAACACATAGTGACGTTTTATTGAGTCCCCCATATATCTCAAGTTATAAGGCGGCAAAGTTTAAATTTTCAAAAAAAATTTAATGTTTACATGTTTGTTGATAACTCGTAAAATATGACGGGCAAAGCCAACACTGTATATTCATTTTGAAGATCAAGAGATTCCTTTTCTAACGGTTTACTTAACTTGTAAATTGTACGTTAATACTGAAAAAATTAGTTTTAATTTAATGAGTGGCATTGTACTTCCGGCTTTAACAAATGTTTTGAACACAATAAATAACAATCAATTATTCGGTGAACTTATACACATTCAAATAGAAACATAGCAAAAAAAAAGGTTTTGACGTTCCCTTTGCCTAAAATCCGACTCTTGATTTTACTATATATAGAGCTAAGAAAAAACTTTCGTATTACAACACTTTGAAATACCGAGATACGAAAGTGGAAACAAAACAAAATAAAATTAACTTCATCCCACCTCTCGTTATTGAAATCTCGAGAAAAGAGCTTTTTATTAATGTTTGGATTCTAGGTTCAAATAAAATGCAGAAATAAAGCATTAAATTGAATATTGAGTAAAGAAATTTTACAGTTTCAATGATACTTAACGGTATAGTTGTGAGACGAAAAGTAGAACGCAAATTTGAGGAAATTTTATATTGTAATTTTATAAATTTTATTTCTCTTTCTTTATCATCATTTATTACTTTTGAATACAATTTTTGAATTGATCTGCTACATTAACCTTTAAAATTAATCTTATTTTATATGAATAACATATTCATTGGCAGAAAGAAAGTAAGACCAAGGAAGCCCTCAAGCTACTCAAAATATATTATTAACTTTTATGAACAGGTGCATAAAATCCAACTATACAATTATATACATATCTACTAAAGCACATTTGAAGAGCTATAGAATTTGTGCATATTGGAACGTTGACTAAATTATTTTTGAATAATATTTATTTCGTTCAACTATTAAGTTTTCAATGTTTTGTTATATGAGATTTTAAATGTTGAAAAATTTATTTTATTTAAGGACTTAGTTCGTTTATGTTCAGAAATTTTAGCAATTTTTAAATTAGAGTTGAATTAAAAGTTAGATTACTTTGTTATGTTAAATAACTTCATGTAAATCTTATGAGGCAGCTAATAATACAACTACTTTTTCATAGTTAAAATCTTTATTTCGATTCTAATCAAGTAAGTGAATTTGTTTACCGAAAAAGTTCAATCTTACAAGAAGCCAATCGGTAGTTTAAACTTGCTCTGATTACGTAGCGTGCTTAACTTGATTGAATTAAATAATAATTTCAAGCACGCAGGTGTGGAGTCCACATTTCTCTTAAACAAGTGGAGGTACTTTTAGTAGTTTTCCGAAAAAAATTGAAAAAGTGGTTATTAGTTTTACTTTGTCCGCGTTCATATTTATGAAACTTTTACACTTTCTTATATATAAAGCTGCAATTTTATATGCAAATAAATCTTTAATAGAGCCTTATCCTGTAAAGTAAAATTTTAACCCCTCTTTTTAAAGTTATAGCTCCTAAAAGTAAAGCAAGAAGAAACCGTGAATGTCTGGTTATCAAAAAACATAAATATTTATTTTAATTCACTAATTAATCGTCGATTTGGACTTTAATTTAAATATTATTTATATGGGCTTTGAGTTATTTCGGATAGTTTTGTTTTTAACTTTCCCCGAGAAGTATGCAATCATTTTTATTATATAAAATAATTTTTGTATATGTACATGTTAAAGGGAATGATCATTAATAATTTCACTTGTTGAAGGGAAAAATGCTGTTTTGCAAATCATTCGAAATGGCGCAATAAAAGCAATAGTTTAGACCCAAAACTTAGCAAAAAGACCCAAAAAAGTAGAAAAAATTTACTCAACTTTATATCGCAGGTACTTCTCATCCAATTTGATTTGAGTTGACAAAATATCAAATTAAATATAGGAAAAAGTTTTCTAGTTCAGCAACAATTTTAACTTACCATACTTCTCGTTTATGTTATTATTAAAAAATTTTCATATAATATAATTTTCAAATTATTTTATTAGGTAGAATTGTCCCTGGTTGAGGAACTATTAAAAACCAAAATTATGAAAGTGAAATTATTTGTCTTTACTAATCATATTTAATATATCACCGTTTCGTTATTAAAATACTATATAGATCATATGTATAACAATTCAGATATAAGCATATAAGTTAATAATAACAATAGTTGTGATATGTGAAGTACATAAATATTCTATGAAGTTTTATACAAAGTGAATTTTGAAAATGAAAGTATAATTTCTAATTTCATGATAAAAATCAGTAAAGAAGTATAATTAAACCATTATTTAGATTACAACAACATGTAAAATCAAATAGTGAGCGATTTTTTTCCGTGGTAATTTTAAAATATTTTATTTTAAATGATAGTATAAAATATACATGAGAAGTATTAATTTTAACACAATCACTAAAATGAAAATGAGTACTCGTATTACGTAATTAATGTGAAAATTATTGTAAACAACGAAATTTGTGCTCGTTGTTTGCTTTTCAATTAGACAATACACCTATGTTTTTTAATAAAATAATTAAAAAAAATATTTAAAAATTCAGTACGTAAATTGATAATAACTTAGATTTAACACTTTAATTACGAACTCTGCTATACAATTTGGCTATACTTTCGAATCATATAAAATATAATGCTAATGCAAAAGTTTATTTCAAAAACAAAGGCTAACTTATGTTGTTCTTTGCATAAAATTGAAAATAAACCTCTAACTAAAATTGAACCATATTGAAGTATTTTAATAAAGTTATCTTCGCGGTAAGAATCACGTCGATATTTTCAAAAATTCGAAGTCATGTACCTATATGTGCACAATATGTAAACAGCACAATAGGTTATTAGTGGAAATCTAATGATAATCTGGAATATTCAGATTATCATTAGATTATTCGGAATATTCAGATTATCATTTACATTCAACAATGTAAATTTTGTAACTCAATAAGCGAACTAAACGTAAGATCTATCCTATATTATTATTTTCATATATTAATTTTATCTTCTATCTTTTAAAGTGAAAACCAAATTTAAATATAAATTTGTAACTCAACATTTGCCAATATTCTTTCAAAAAAATTAATATCTAATATTATACAATTTAATAGAATAAATTAATCATATTAACAAGGTCTCTTATTTAAAAATTTGACATTATTTTCAAAATTCAGTAATATGGAATTAAAATAATAGCAAATTAATTTAAATATTTTTCTAAAATTTATTTACAAAAACTTAAAAACGAAAAACTTACAAAAATGAAAAAAATAGAAAGCCATACGATTGAGTCCAGCATGGATTTTCTTAAAAAAATTCGGAATGCAAAAAGTAAATTGGTAGTAATTGAATTCTTCTCAGATGCATCAGTAATCCATGGTCCTGTTGTCGAAAATTTACAAAAGAGCATGGCACCTTTTAAGACACAAATAATTTATTTAAAAGTTAATGCTGATTTGGCAACAGATTTGACACGTCGTTACAGGGTGTTAACTACTCCAACAATAATTTTTCTTAAAAATTATAAAGTTGTTGATAAAGTAGTAAGAAATGATCCAGAAAAATTTCAAGAAATATTTGATCAATATTGTAATTGTCCGTACCATTGAATTTTTGTAAAGATAAGAAGAGTAAATAAGAATAAATAAAATTTATTTTTATAAATTTTACATGAATACGTACATAAATTAATTTTCAATTAAATCATTTCTGTATTGAACTTTGAAACGTAATAATTTTCAACAAGGATTAATATTAATGATTTTTATTCTATTAAGTTTTGGATTGAAAAAATTTATCGAAAAAATTTGATGGCAATATAGTTCATCTCAACATTTTTTATGCGATTGACAATAACACTGAATCGAGGTGGAAGTAACCTGTAACTAACAACGACAACTCTCATTATGACTGATAGTTTTATGATTATGAAGGGTTAACAGTGTGGCAAATTCTGAGTGATAGTGACATTTATCATAAAAGTTTTAAAATATTTATTATAGACAGGAATCATTCGTGAATGAATTACTGTTACTTAATGATTTGATATTCAGAATAGGCCCCAATGTAAGTTGGATTGCACATCATAGTTTCCGTCATACTAAATTTTTAATTTAATCCAATGACAAGTATAACACATTTCATTAGAAAGTTTTTCTTGTTATACAGTTATTATAATTTTTATATCAAGATTTAAATATCTACTTCTATACTACATCAAGAAGTGAACTATAAATGAGTTTGAACCCATAATCCAAAACAATTAGGAAAAAGTGCTTCCATGCAAAATCTGCATTTGTAATATTTTAAAATTGTATACAAATTTACAATTTAATTAATTTAACGCAATTAATTTCTAATAGAAATAAATATTGTGCTATTGTCACAAATTCATGAATTACAATTATTGCAGTATAACATTAAACAATTACAATTCTATATGTGGATTTCCTTAATAACTTTCTAAATTTCTTTGCGCTATAACAGAAGTTAATTGTAATGAGATATTTTCATTTTTATAAAATTATGCATACATACATATAATTACGTATAAAATTGTGCACGCATATATTTAACATACAATCTTCATGCTCACAAAATTTAAAAAAAACTTCTAATAATAAGGTATTCAAAATAGTGTAGTGTCACGAATTCCTGGTTTTTGTCTAATTATCATGAAATACAAGACAAATTAAAGCAATTTACTGAGCATTTCAATGGAAACAAGTACAAACAATTAAAATGTTGATTTCAAATGAAAAATTTTTGTTAAATTGAATGATTTTTTACTTAAGTCAACGAAAAGTGTTAATTAAATATTTCACTTTCACTCCTATAAAATATAGTAGAAACTGCTACTTAAAGTTTCCATTTAAGATTCTTTTTACGTACAATATTTCATCTTTTAAAGATTAACTGGTAAAAAAATATTCTGAACCAAGCATATACAATTAAGTTTTACTATTACCAATTCACCATATTTTTTAGCGTTCAGTCAATCAGCAACGCACGTTATTTTAGCGAATACTTTCTTTTCAGGCATTCTGTTTCAAGTGCATACATGCAAAATTTTAAAAATTTATTGTACAGCAAATCAGACTCGAAGAATAATTTTTCTTTTTTTCATTTTAAATTTTTCAAAGATTTCCATTTTAACAAACAAATCGAAATTTGCTGAATTACTTTTAAGTAAATATTGCATAAGTTTGGGATGAACAATTTTTCAACCAAAATTTACGATAAGTAAACGACAGTTAAAATAAATGAAAGCAATTCGTAAATTGTTAAAATTAGAAATTTTTTTTTAAATTTTTAATTTAGGTGTCAAGTAACAATGTTTATGAAAATGAAATCAGAGGCCATTTTAAAATATACATACATAAATATAAAATTATAAATTATAATGTTTTACTTTTTAGGGCTTTTCAACTAAATAATTTTAAACTAACTATAACTAATTGTGAATAAACGAATACTTAAATAAACTAAGAAATTTTGAAATTTTACGACCACATCCTTGAATAAATTATTAAATTAAAATATGTTGAAGGAGCATGAATTAATTGTGAACGCGCCAGTGTTAAGTTATTACCATATATATTAAGTTATTACCATAAGCTTGAATTATAACATGTTGTGTATGTATGTACATGTATTTCAACATATGGGCAATATGGGTAATTACTTTAATCGATAAGAATTTCTGCGGCAGTATAATGTACATATATTCAAATAATCAAAGAATTGAACGCAAAAATGTTCTTAGAAATTCAAACAGGTTTTTTTTTAAGTTTGCTATTTGTAACTTGTTAACATTATCTATAATCATAAAAAAAAATAGTTTGATACTTAATATGCTTGTCCTTCTTGTTGTACAAATTTGCATCTAGATTTTAAAAATAACGGAATGATTGACCGTGTCCATTCTGTGATATCTGGAACATCCGGGCGAATGAATGAATCTAAGATTTGCTGAATAATTTATATGGTGGTCTATGTTATTTATATAGTTTATTGTACTTTACTTAAGCACTCTTTATTTTCAATATTTTCTTAAAATGATTGAATAGCTTTTTTAGTTCTATAACAGCTGCACTAAGAACTCTTGCAATCTTAACGACATCGAACACATACGTTCGTAGTCACAAATCAATTTTAAGCAAGCAATTTTAGTTGAACATTTCAATTATATCCGCATCATTGGGTGTATGTACATTTAGCATGATCTACACGTATGCTGCTTTAATTATTACACTGTTTCCAGTTACTAATTTTACTTTTCCTTCATTATATTTTTTCTAAAATATTCTTTAGTAATTTAAAAACTGATTAAATATTTTAATATTTTTATTTATCGTAAATGTAGCTTACCCCAAAATGCATATCAAATAAGAAAATCGAAAAAATTTCGAAAAAGTCGAATAAAATTATCGCCCAAATCAAGATGCTATAAATTTGGTATACCTTAACTTACTCTTAACTTTGTAATCAATCATATTATACTAATACCTTTGTAATTTTATGGCTAAATTACATGCAAACAGTTTTGAAATCTGTATAGATTTAACAGGCTTATCAGTACCCCCTCTATGAGTGTATTGGTATTTTATAAAATAATTTTTTTCACTGTTAAAGACATTTCTTATTTAACGTAATTTAAAAGAGTGTTCCATCTAAAATTTCGTTTTAATAACATTCTTAGTTACTGATTATTCTGTATAATTATACCTTATCATTAACCAACTTGTCAACACCAAATTTAGCTTACCTAAATTTTTATTTTTTTTTTCTTCATTTAAATTTAGCAGCTCTGTACAAATCCAACGATTTACAAAATACTGAAATTTTTAATTCAAACATTTAACAAATAATAATTTTAACACAAAATACGTTAAGCTAAGAGTTATTAGAGCTTTGTTCTTTTCAAAATTGAATTATATTTTTTCAGGTAATAAAAATTTTTACATAAGTTTCGAATATTAATTTGATTTCTGATGCTGTATCAAAGAGGCAATTAATAATTAAAATTAAAAATTTAAAAATACAAAAGTTCTCTTGAAACACCTTTTATGATCTGAACTAGAATTCGAAAATAAAAAATAATTTCCACCCTTCTATAATTAAAAAAAAATATTTATTCACATGCTATAATTTATTGAAACAAAACCTTAACAAACTTAGCGCGTCTATAAAGTGGCAGGGTTTTTCAATCTACCTATGTATAGTAATTTTCTATATTAATTAAGAAATTATTAATATTATACACCTCCCGAAACCGAAAATTAACACAAATAATTTTTTTATTAATTCAAAATTATATCCCTTTTTGAAAAGCGCCCTTGTTAACCTCATTTTTTAATATATAAGTAGTAGAAAACATGAAAGCAGACTTCCTCAGTAACTTGAACTCTTTTGAACTGATTTTTTTCTTTTTACTTGAAAAATCACCTGGTTTTTTAAGTCTACAAAATTAAAAATGTTTTGCCAATAATATAACAGCGATTGTCATGACTACGCACAAACATTTTGTTATAACTATAAATATATAAGAACTTAGTCCTTAATGGTACTAACAGAACGGCACGTATAAAGTTTTACTTACTTAAATTTTCAAAATAAAAATAACCTTCTATTAGTACGGTTTTTGTGGTCAACAAGTTAACTTGCATTTCGCTTGCTTTATGAAAAGGAAATGTGAAACGTGAATTCTTCAATTTCAAATACAATTGAATTTATTTTTTTTTAATATAAAATTCAAAATTATATATTTTATAAAATAAAAAAACCTCAGTAGCAAAATATATATTTTGATTTTGACAATAATTTGAAAATTCATTTTGAAAAAAAATAATAGTCATAGCAAACTGAGAGCACAAACTCATAAAAATTTTTTGATGGATCCATCAAAATATTTTGTAATTTTTATTATTCTTCCAACGGTAATATTTTCAAAAACGACAGGTGATTCGGATATAATTGAAGAAGAAACTAGTAGCACCAATAATATTTTTAAATATAAAAGTATATCAAGTTGTAAAAGGAATGAATATTACGATTTGGATTATTTTACATGTTTAACATGCGGAAAAAATTTAATTGGATCCGAAAATAGTAAGGATATTGATTTAATTTTAATAAATATAAATATAAAATCGAAGTTAAATCATTACATTTAAGGTTTTGTATATAAGTTTGTTTAATCAATTAGAAAAAATGGAATAAATTTTGTATATGTACATATGTACATACGTATGTACATATACATAATGTGCAACCCCATGAAAATGGAATTTGTAGAAATCAATTGAATTTTAGAAAAAAAAAATTTTTTCTTGTAGCTAAATTAAGTCAATAATTTTAGTTTTCAATATAGTAGCTTTTGATATACATCATAACCCGTTTATAAAACTCTCATATAAAAGAAGCTCTCGCTTGAAATAAACTATTTTCCATGAACTTATCATTTTACATTAATTTCAATGTGTTTTATACCCTTGCACCTTCTTGAAGAGTATATTTATTTTGGTACGGAGTTTGTAACCACTTGAACAAGTCATCTGCGGTTACGGACATGTACAGATATGCTTGCTCAGCGAAAAAATCAACTTTGATTTAAACATGTCCATCCGGCCGTCCGTCAGCTCGTACGATAACTCAGAAACAAATAAAGCAAATATCACTAAACTTTCACAAGTTGTTTCTTTTCCCAAAAGACGGTCTATTATAATTGGGCGAATTCATGTAACGGAATGTGGTAGCTGTCTTACAACTAGTGTGGTAGTAGGTTTTATTTAGAAAAATTCAAATATTCAACGTCGAATTTTAACAAAATCACAAAAATAATTTGAAGATTAATTTTTTAATAAATTATTTATAATAATATTGTAGAAAAATAACTCCTCATAATTATTTGATTAAGTTTAAATTTATTGCATACCTTTTGGATGGTATGAAAGCATATTTCAAATAAAAAACAAACATTTTCTATTATTTTCTATTTATGTGTACTTAAAGTAAGTCATAATAATAAATATTGTTAAAATTAAAATGAACTTGTTATACAATTTTAATTCTCGGAAATTATGTTTTCTACAAAAATATCATTTAACCTTAATGAAGCTGTCCAAAATTCTAGTCTAAACTATTCAAAACAAAAACATTCAAATTAATCAAGATAAAATTTTTTCTTTCTTTTCTCTTACTTTTACTAGTCAAAAAAAAAAAATAAGGAATTCAAAAGTGTATTTAATTTGATTTCTGTATTGTAATAGTGCCTAATTATACGAAACAGACGATAATTATCTTATATTTAAATATTTATACCCATATATTTATATAAGTATATAGGAAGCATTTCTTAATTTCTTGGCCCAATTCTGTAATATTTGACCTTTATCACAAATATCAATTTCTATACGGGCCGACATTATTTATTACCCCCTCCCCTATAGAATAATTTATTAGCAGAACAATCTTATTGTAATTACAGAAATTACGCGCGATTTAATTGCAATATAATTTTATGTTTATAATTTTAGGTATGGCTTTCTTATAGCTCTAAATTTTTTGATGTATACCATGAATGGTGCCCTATAATACGAAACCCATAATATAAACTTGATCCATTAACCTTTAATTGAAATTTTATTTATAAATTTTCTTCAAATTTAATTTTACTCAAAAACGAATCATTCAAATTTATGAATAATTGTTTAACTATATACTTTTTACCGACTGTATTGGTGTATACAATAGGTAGGTTATGTGATGGCAACAAATTTTGCATATCGAGTTTTCGATGGGAATACACTTCTCCATAGTAGGGAAGTGTAAATAAACTATTTTTAGCAACCTGTCGGTCTGTCGGCCTGTGTATGCACGCGTTTATCTCAAATTCGTCTGAACCGATTTTGATGAAATTTTATATGTAAGTTTATTTCCACCATGGCACGGATTGATCAACTTTTGGGATATATCAGACCTCGGGAACTGCACTTTTTAGCGTGCTTGTTTTACATTTTTGACCATTTTAAAGAAAATATTCAACCTATTTGCTTGAAATTTCATATATAAGCTTCGTTCGATCGTCCGCGAAACCTCCTAACTTTTGGAAGAAATCAGACGTCAGCAACTAGACATCTACGGAGCGAATTGATGGAATTTCTTGAAATTTGATATTTGAGTTTTGGTTGTTACCGAAACTAACTGGCGAGCATTTCAGGGAATTCGGGTAGAACAAAGCGAAATTCTACTAAGAGCCAAATTTACATTTTTCTAGGTATGTTAACTATAAGCTTACTAATGTCCTAAAAATTGGAAAGAAGTATGTAACAGATATTTATATAATATTCTGTAACATTTTCACTTAACCAGACAATACACATTGCGGTCGGTTATGTGCTGACCACGTCAGATTTTTTTTTTAATATAGTTAGATTTTAGTAGTAACATACGCACACACCAATATGCATATTTTACTATTTACAATACCATTTTAACTATTTATTTATTTCATTATCGATTTCTTTTTATATCTACGTAAACATTAATTTAACCTTATTTAAAAAAATATATCTTAAAGGTAATTTTACATTTATATTGTGGAAATGGTGAAAAAAAATAAATTCTAAATTATTATAGATTCGTTTTTATTTAATGGTGTTTGTAAATTTGAGTTTATAAAAGTTTTTTTTTATAAAATTTATTTTAATGTTCAGAAATGCGATAACAATTGGGTTTGTTATTTACGATGATCTTTCGGTATATAAAAGTCTGCTAACTCTCCGTATTGGGAATAGTAGCATTTGCAGGTCATTTAAATAATTTATTGTTTTATTCTGAAAGTGACTTAAGGCCATTTTCAAATTCAAATCTATTTCATTTTTAAAGCAATAATAATGGTAATAGTTGGAATTGAAATTATTACTTTTATTATGGTCGGCGAAGCGAATGGTTAGGCGAGTCGAATGAACTAGGCAAATCGAATGATATTTTAAATTATGATCGGTGAATACTTTCATTCCTCAAATCCAAAATGTTGCTAGCGCAAGACATTAGAAAACCTACCGAAAACAATATGTACATTGTTTTTGCTTTTTTTCAAAAACAATCGAATTTTTCTATCCTTTAGCAATTACGGTGTTGTTGTCCATTAATTTGTTTAAATGTTCGATCATAATAAGGACCTATGTACTTGGCTAGGAAAATAAATGTACTATCAAGCAAATAACCAGTTAACCCAATTTCTAGTTACAATAAACCCAAACAGTATAATATTTCATTTTTATTTGAAATTGTCTTAGATGGCGTCCAAAATAAATCATTCAATTAAAATATCAGAATTAGGGACTCGTAACAATCTATTATAAATTTTCTTAATTCATAGTTGCTCTATGCATAGTTAATTTTAAAGATTGTGTTAAGTACGCTGAATATTAATGTTTAAATCAATAAAAAGGAATTTAATTAAATTATTTGTTTATTGCAAGGATTCTAACTTAAGGTGGAGTGGGGAAACTTAAAGACCAATAAACGAAAATAAAAATTAATAACCCTTTAATTATCATTAATTACTTTTTGTGTCAGTTGTCAAATATGGTGTCAATTGGCACTGTTTTAAATCTATTCAATATAGTAAATTTGGATGTGTATTTATTTATTTAGTTAAAGAAATTAATTATATTTATACACTAAAATTTTAATAGAAACAATTATTTTATAGTTAGTCAATACAAAAATTTAAATTAGCCTTTAAATTTACTAATTAATTTACATAGTTTAAAAATTAAACTTACATGTAAGTTACTATACTCGTACAAGTTACTAGTATTGGCACACCCTTCAATATTGTAGTCATCTGTGTGAAGTAAAGAACTCGTTCATGCTGACCGAAAACCTGAGCGTCTGTATGCACTAATTTCGCCACGACTCATTTAACCTTTCTGCTTTATATTATAAAAGTTTTTATCATTTAAAAAAAGAAATTACTGTAATAATTTTTTCATTAGGTTTTTATTAACAATAATTTTATCATGCATTTTTCATATTTACTTGATTCATTTCGTGATAATTTTCTATAAATGTTATATGACGTCCCCCTAATAAAAAAGTAATTCGAGATGTATGAGAATAGCTTACAGTTTTGTAGAAATGTTTCCCATCAAATGCCTTCTACTTTTTTAATAGATTTTAAATACAATCGTATAAGCTAATATTATTCCATTGGAATGTTGTATTCAATAAATCGAAAGTATCTGTATCGATCATTCGAACACAGCCAATTCTTGTTCTACCAATATTTCGAAAATAATTAACTTCTTATTAAGTGTGATAATCTTCTTTACCCCATTCCTTTAAACACTTTAAGGCGCATCACATAATTGCCCCCAACAGTACAGAGCAGGGCTCAGGCCCTATTAGTAGAATTGTGTTGGTATACCAGTAACTTCTCAATTATTTTCATGTACGCCAAAATGCTCAGATACCAATGTCAACGTTAAAATATTGGGCCATAGAAATTCAATATATTTCTTTATCAGTTTCCATTTTACTCTAATTAATTTTGAAAACTTACTTATAATGATTCCACAACTTCTAGCTGTAATGAAAAGGATTAAAATTAAAAACAAAAACAATTTGTAAGAAAATTTGTAAGAAAAATTTTTAAAAGCAATCCGATAATTTAGATATATATGTACATATACATACATATATAGTTAAATAACGTTAACTGTGTACAATCTATAAACAAATTAAACACCTTTTGTAAAATTTCTAGAATCTACTGCTAGACTTTCGCGGTAATAAGTAATTTTTTCGAATATATTAAATAATTATAGAAAATATTGAATAATTTATTTAAGTTCCAAAATAAATTTATTATAGAGAATAAAAATATTTTACATTTCGGACGTATTGAGAAAATTAAATTAGAATAACAAGAAGTTGAAATGTTTTTATTGGTCAAAATTAATTATAAGAAAGTAAAGCGGAAATAAACAAAGTTGGGTCAAACCAATGTTTTGTAATTTAGCATTTTTCTCTTCAGGACGTGAAAATACCGCTTTTAAAAATAATCTATGTCCCTACTGTATTACTAGAATTATTTTTTTTTTTATTCATATACGAATAACTTTAAAAATTGCATGCTTCTAGGATGAACAATATAAGCGATCTGTGTGAAATAAAACAAAAAAAAAATGTTGAAAAAGACGTTAACGCAATGCTGGAATTAAAAAGGTTGATTATGTGAGTTTAGGGAAAAAAAATAAAAAGCTTGCAGTTTCAGAAATATAAAGCGCCAAAAATTTTCTAGGGAGATAGGAAAAAATTTTCTAGGGAAATAATTTTCTAGTATAGATCTACGCATGTACATGTAAAATTTCAGCTTTCAAGTGTAAAATTTCAGCTTCAAGGGTTCAGAAGTTTTGTAAATATGTCCATGGACGGACAGCGTGAAACTAAAAGCACTTTTTCTCAATTTTTTTTTTGGAAAAATGCCAAAAACGAAGTGTATTTTTTTTAATAAATTATTTTATGTTTAAAAAGCAAAACTTAATAAATATAAAACTTAATTACTATTCGTGTATAAAGAAAATTATTTAAAAAGTTGCTAAAAATAAGAAATTTTTTAAACGATAAAATTTTTACTTTTACATCCTACAAAAAAAAAGATTACATTAAAAATCCTTTTATTCTACAAAATATAGAACGGAATAGCTTTAAATTATTTGCAATAACATAGAAATAATGTGCCTATTATTTTCACTTTGTTTGTTTGTTCTTACGTTCATCCCTCTGTATACAAAACTACTACATTATCTAAACAATTTTTTAACTATTTTTAAGATCAACGCAAATTGTAATAAAATAACTCGCAAATAAAGACAAATTATAAAAGTTTGAAATTTTAGGTAGAAGACGTTAATAAAAGAGTTTTTTCCATTCTAGAACAATATTTTTTTCTATCTTCTCCTTACCAGGTATTTCTTTTCAAAATTTACAAAATTTCAGTTTTCGGCAATTTATTTTCGAATAGGTTAAGGTATGCTTTTCCAAATTTCTCCGAAATCAAACAACTAATGTTGGAGTCTCAAATTGTAAAATTTCCTATCTCAACACTGTCTTAATTAGTCATCCAAATAAAACATTTTATTAATGCTTCTTATATGTTCTCTATCCGTAAAGTATGCAATCGCAGTATTTGAACTAATAAGGGATAAAAGAAAAATTCATGCTTTTAAATCTCAAAGTTGTTACTTGACAATCCTTTGGATTTGGCAGTGCTTATTTACAACATGATATCGCACTTATTTAATTATTTTCAAAAGAAAAATTTAATCTGCAATTAGATTTTTCGTATTGTCACTTTTTAGTGTTTATTTGAATTTAAATTTTTTATTGAATTACTGAACTTACACCATCAAGTGCTAGTAACAAGAGTACAATTTTTATGAAAAAAAAATACTATTTTTGCAAACACTTTTCTAAAAATATTTCTCGCGTGTAAAAAAATCTAAAAAAATTTGTAATTTTTCTTTTAAATTGCTTGATTATTTATTACCACATTTGTCTATTAAAAAGCCGTCATACACAAGTTAAATTGTAGATTAGAGAAAATTTATTTGCTATACACCTAGTATGTACTCGTAAGACCTTTAGATATGACTTTTTGGCAAAATTTTGAACATTAATCAATACTGAAAAAGTTTACGTATATATATATATTCGAAGCAATCAATAAAACACAATGCTGAATTCAAATCTTTTAATATCTGACCTTGAAAATATGTTGATTAATTTATAAAATTTGTGAAAAATGAATTTTTGCCATACAAAATTGTAAAATTAAAATTTTATTCTTTATAACATTAATTACAAATTATAAGCAAAATATTAAGAATTACAAATTTAAGATTAATTTAAATAAGGTTTTCAAGTAAGACCCAACTTGTACAATACACAAAAGTAAGATATTTATGGAATATATGCAATGAATATATATTTTTTCCTAATCCGCCAATTTACAACCAATCAATGCATTGGAAACCAGTCAATTTATAAAATATTCTACAAAAAATATAATAAAAAATTTTCATATTTTTTCCAGAGTTTGATTGCGTGTGTCCGAGAGAGATAGCTACAAACATTCTCTTCGATACTTTTGAATATCAGCCAATTTGCGTAAGTAAATGTAATAAAACTTGCGTAATCGACTATATACCAAGATCAATACCTGATAATTCAATCGACTGTAAAATTAAATATGTTAGAGAAATTGTTAGATCAGCTCGAAATATTACAGTGAAATCACTTCAAATAGTACAGCCACCAGAATATCAAATTGAAAATGAAACAAATTGTAATGAATGTGATTTGGGAGCAAATTTTTTATATGAAAATTATTGTATTGAAAGCTCAATACTAAAGAATTATTTAAATTACAATGCTTTTGGTAACTGGGGTATTTATGCAAACTTAAAATTTACAGCTTTATTTTGTCGAACATTTAAAAATGCAACAGCTTGTAATCATTTAGCTAATTTGTGTGTTGCATCCTTTTATAGTTTAGATAAAAATTCACCATGTAGTATTTTCATATTAGCTCAAACTACAGAATATGCTTCCGTTTATAGTGATGAAGACTTAAAAGATATAAAACCGTTCATTTTTTATAAAAAAGCTGAAAAAAGTACCATACAAGAAATTGAAAAAACAATTGATTATTCATATAGTTTAGATGGTAAAAGTCAAGAAAGTTTTCTTCAATTTTACACAACAACTTATTCACTAGATGGTAAACTTCAACGTATGGGGCTAATATCACCAAATGATTTAAGTTTATGTAATCAATTCTCATTACCAGAACACCACAATTTTAAATTCGGCAAAAATTTCTTAATCAAATGTAAATTCAATTTAAGAAACTTAATAAATCTTGGTGAAATTATGGGTAATAAAAATTTTATAAATTTATTTTTGAATTATTCGATTGGAAAACAAGAATACTTGCAATCAGTACCAATTTTAATTAGAAATGCATTTTCTAATGATTTGGTAAGTATAATTTACAAAAACTATATATAGAATTAATATTGATCACTTAATGTTTTTACATATTTTAGAATACAAAGTTAGAAAATTGGCAGCTTGTAAAAAGATTTCAATTGATTGAAACTTTACCAAGATTACATCATGAACGTTATTCACCAATTTATGAGGATGCCTACAAAGTACAAATATTTCGATCAATTCGATTTGTTAATGATATTTTAATCGAATGTTCAATTCGAGACAATAATAAAATTTCAATTCCGATTATTAAAATTAATTATGAAAATGTCGATATATCTTCGAATAGTAGTTTGGACACTATGTATGGATTCAATTTCAAGATGAATTTTATAAAAGAACAATTTTTGAATTACTGGTTTGAAATTTTATTACCACTATTTTTATGTATTGGATTTGCATTAGCCTTACTTAGAACTTATAATTTTAAAACGCGACAAAATAAAGAATTCTATGATTTATCAGCATTCTTCCAATTCACCTTGTACTTATTTTCATATTTTGCTAATGCATTCTTTTTAATTGCTGCAATTGTTGCCATACATTGTTTCTTAGTATTTACAACACAAAAAATTGTCAGTATTATGTTGCCAATAGAACAATCAAATAATATTGAAATACTAATTTATTTTGCATTGGTTTTAAAGGTATATGGCTTTAAAATATTAAATGGAAAACATACCATATTGAAAGATCAAAACTTATTTTATTAATTTTTTAGAGTATTTACTTATTTTTTCATTTCTGGAGAATCATTAAAGTGGATCTATGTTTTATTGATTGGGAAAGACCGAGAGCAAATGATGTGCATTTCAATTTTAAAGGAAACTGTGACACTCCATCGGTTTGCTCTAGTGTAAAATTAATTTTTAAAATTTATATAAGCTGAATTTGCTTTTGTGTTAGTGGTTTTGAGTTTAAAACTGTTTGAAAAAGACAAGTATTTATGATTATGAAATCTTATGTCGATTTTAATGGCCTTTGTTGGTAGAATGATATTTAAATATTAAAAATACATAAAAAGCGAATTCAGTTTAAGAATTCAGCATGGAATATTGATTCACTTATTGCAATTTGCATTGAAAAACTAAGTTAATTGACGTCCAACCAATGCTTATGAACTTGCTTACAAACAAAACAAGTTCATAAGCATTGATAATAAGTTCATAAGCATTGATAAATAAAATATTTGTGACTTCAAAATTAGGAAAATACTGTATTAATACAAAATTCAGCAATCACAATTTTTAAGCTGAATTGCGTATTAATGTTCAGTATTATCTACTACAATTTTGAAGTCATGGTAGTTACGATGTACATTTATAAATATGCCAAAGGTTAAATTTTTTTGCAGGCTCGAAGTTACAACGAAAATTCAGTTTCTGCTTGGAGAATATTTTTTGTAGCAAATGAATGGATTCAATTGTGTAAAAGACGTAAAATTTCAATAACATTCCAATGCTTGCTTATGTGGATTTTCATGAGTGTAAGTATGGCTGAAATTATTAACTCACAAATTTGTACTGAAAACTATAAATTTGGTTTAATTATAAGATTTAATGGGATGAATTAGTACCATTTAGCATTGTATATCAAAATATTGTTGGGTGCACACAAACTCATAAATTAAGAGTTTTGTAAATTAAGAATCAATGCTTCTATCCATTCCCCAAAATAAATACTGTAGTATCTGAATTTCTCAAAACCCGCAAAATCTCAAAAATATTGAAATACAGTCTTGAGTCCTTACATTACTTATTTCATTTTAGTTTACAAATAGGAAATTTTCAAATCAGAATAATTTAGTTTAAAAGACTTCTTCGAAAATTGACCATTTTCGTTAAGAAAATTTCCAATTAAATTGGTTAAGTATGGTATATTTAAAAAAAATTTTTACAAAATTAAAACTTTAAATTAAATTATTTATATTTTTTCTAGCTATATACTCATCTGGCACCCAGCAAAAAAAAGTTTATTATCTTGCAATATGATTTGACAGCTCAAAATTTAATTAAACTTCCACAATTTAATTAAACTCCCAAAATTTAAGAAATTCTGTTACAAATCCCACATATAATAACGCGTACTTAATAAGATTTTTGGATAGATTTTCATAAACCCACATTATTTCTCAACTCAATTTTTCTTAAAGTAACAAATTAACAAAAAAATATTTTACTTTTCTTTTACAAAAACTCTCTTTCCGTGTTGTTCACGCAGTTATTCCTAAAAAATAATAAATCAAACTTTGAATATTTTTTATTGTCACTTTTGCACGTGTTACTTTCCGTGCAGCATCATTTGTAAGTAATTATTATAATATAAGTTTTTGATACTTTTGTATAAATTAATATGTAGGAGTATTTAATCTATCATTCTATATAAAAATGGGTGAGTCGATATTATATAAAACTTCTTCGAATTTATTCCAATTCAACATAATTTACACACTTGAAACTTTTTAATGCGAAGACTTTACGCATACTGGACCACATAATTTATTTTTTACATGATTTACAATCGAACACTCAAATAATTAATTTATTTATTTCCTTCACAACGCTTTTATTCTTTCTTTCAGATTATCCAGGAGAAATCATCAAAATTAACAGAAGATCGAATAATTCATTTTGCAATTGTGATAATTCTCTATACAACCATTTATTTATCGCAAAGACTCCTGAATTATATATTTTGTCAAATATTTGGAAACCCTTTACAACGTTTCATTGATATATGTTCATTAGCCAATATATCAGTTATGATATTATTACAAGATTCATATGGTTTTTATATACACGGTAGATCACCACATGGTTTCTCTGATACTGATATGTCTTCTATGATCTTACAATTGCAACGTGAATCTCATAATATGTGTGGTAAACGTGGTCTATTAATTGGTTCTGATCAACAAACTTATACAATTTTAGCACCAACTTTATTAAGGTATAATCTAATATAATATTTATATTGTTATAATATTTCAGAAGAATTCAAATACATATTTAAAAATAATAAAATTAAACACTGATAAATAATTTTTTATATAAAAATTCAGCAATTTACCTCGTATTTGTCTAGACAACTTTCATCGTAATGAATCTACTTTAACATTTTTTCAATAATAAAATTTTTTTTATGCTTTAATTTTATTTAAGATCCTATTACGGAAAGCTGTTAATGCCATTTTTAAAATCAGTAAACATCTCTCAAGTTCATTATGAAAAAGAATTTTCTTCACATAAGGTATTCGATTGCACACTTGAAAAGACAACAGTGGCTTATAGTAGTGTAAATCGATTCTTTTGCGCTTTTATCGATCATGTACGTATATAACGTAACTTTATTACTATACACAAATAAAAGGTATAAAAATTTGATTTTTAAATTCTAACAAAAACAATAAAAAAAACATTTTCAACTTTTATATAACAACTAGAATTTTAGTGTCATACCATTTACAAAATTATTATTAATGTCTATACACCTTATACATATGTATATACTTACATAATATAATTTTTTAAAAATAACACGGAAAAAAATAAGTTCTAAATCTTACGTCACAAACAATAAATTAATTAAGTCGAAGATTTATTAGTCATTATAAAATATTCAAAATTCGTCAAATTATTTATTACTAAATTAGTTTTTCTCTATTTAAATTTCAATTTAAATATTGTACAGTATACAGATTAAGGAAATTACAGTGATAAAATCTGCAATCTATGTAATTGACGTTAGATTTGCACTTAATAGGTAGCGTTAATTGAAAAAATAATATGTACACTTCGTATACATTCGTAATATATGTTTGAATATAATAGTTAGTACAACTGTTATATTCAAACGTATAGATAAGAATTGTCCGTATCAGAATACAGAATTTAAATCTTATTTAATTTTATTGTTAATTTGCATACTAAAAATATATGCATTATCGGGCAAATGTATGCGAAACTTCAATTCTATTCATTTTAAATATATAGGAGTAGATATTACAAAGTATATTAATATATTATTATGTACAAAATGTTATATTTCGTAAAAAAATTAATATTTCATAGAAGCTAATTCAATATTAATAAATTTATTAATATATTATTATTTTCTATATTAATAAAATTACAGTGAAAACATTCTGGCCTATCCCATCGCATGAATAATATAATAATATTACAAACAAGACAGAAATAAATTTATTCTTGTTATGGGAACGTGACTTATATATATATACATATATATTCTTAGACACATTTCAGCTTGTTTGTTTGTCTGTTTGCCTGCGCATATTAATTTCGTGTATCCTGACTTCGGCAGAAACGATTTTAATAGAATTTTAATGAGTTTATACTTTGGCCATGTGATTGATAGTGATGAATTAATGAGCCGACTTTATATTTTTAATATTTTATATAAAATTATTAATTAGCTTTCTTGAAATTCAATTATATGCGTTCTAATTTGCAATAACATTAGAAAATAACTAGAAGCAGTTTAATGAAATAAACAAAGAAAATTTCTTCATAGAACTGTAGAACAAACGGATAACGAGTCAAAGAAACAAGTCAAAGAAGAAAAACAAAAAAAAAAATTTTTTTTTTTCTACTCATATCAGTGACTAACCGCTTAAACGGATATTTTAAAAACTGAGGTACAGAGGTATGAGCAAATCATACGTAAAGCTATTCGAAGGACAAATAACTTTCGTTGAAATACAAAACAATCGAAATAACATGTGAATTGGATATTGTCTTTTATTGTACAATTATATTATTATCAAAAGATTTTAAATGTAAAAATAAACAACAGCAACGTGCACATAGCTGTAAAACAATAATAACATGCATATATCGTTAACGTTTGTTCGGAGTCACATTGTAAATCTTATAGAAATAAAGTTACCAGTTAACTTAATTTACTATAGTTCTTAGAGTTTCTGCACACATTAGATTTTAAAAAAAATCATGTTAAAAATATTCTAAAAGATAGTACGTATAAGAATGGGTAAAAAATTTTTTAAAGCTGTTTTTATTTTTTGTAAATTATAAAATTTTTCTTTAAACTGCAATTACAAATAAATTTTTTTTATATTTTTAGGCTATTAAGGATTTAGATTACATATTGAAAGAAAAAAATATTATTGAAAAAATTTTGGATTGTGAATTTGACAATTATTTAACCGAAAGTGAGTATACATCATGTAGTTCTTCTACATCATATGGAATAAATGTTTGAAAAAATGCATGAGACAATCACTTATAATTAAAATGCAATACTTAAAATTTAAGTTTTTTTATAATGACTAAATGAGATTATAGACGTTATCCTTTTGAATTTTTGCTAAATAGTTCCATAGACATAGTTCCATATACATATACATTTATTACATGTAATGATTGTGTAATAAATCTTGTAATAATGTAATGTAATAAATATCTAAATCAGTAAACAATAACTAGGATTCCTTAAATAACATTCTAAAGGCAGTACGTTAATTGTGTGTCATTAAAAAACATCCTAATCAATATTTGACTCAAATATTTATAAAAACAATTGCTCATAAAATCATTGTATAAGAAAGCTTAGTATTATATAGTAAATAAATTTCAGGATTTTATTAAGGTTTCCGAATTTCAATCAACAAAATGCAATCAATTAATCTAAATAGAATGGCTATAAGCTAATTTTAACAACTGCTTACATTCATATATATCGTAGTTATAAATAGGACATTATTGCTTAAATTATCTATCTTATACGTATACCTACTCAAATTAATTAAATTAAAACATTTAATAAGGCTCATGCAATGTAACAATGTAAAATAGTCTAGCATCGGATTGTTTCATGTATAAAAAAAAAACATACACTGATATTTTTTACTAGACTTAAATATACTTGACCTAAGCCCTAATGCATAATTTAAAAATAATTGCTTCTGCATATATATTTTTTTTTGTTTTGAAAATTCGTTTATAACTTTTTTAGAATTATCAGTAAAAAATTCTGGAAGGGAATAACTAAACATTTATTTAAACTATAGTTGGCATTTAAATTATCTGAATTTTTTTTACTTTACAATTTAAATATTGCACTTGTGCCGGTCTCACCTATGTGAGTATTTACGTGAAAACTTTTAGTGTTTAATTATTTGAAATTTTGCTAATAATTTATTGGGTAAACCAATTTATTAAGTAACAAAAACGACTATAATCTCACAATAATCTGGCAATACTTTCAAACTAAAACATTCTTTGAAATATAAAAAAAATTAGCCCACATATAATGCTATAATTAAATAATAACGATTGATGCTATAATTAAACAATTAATAATTATTATGAGCAGAACCTGATTATTCCAATATTGTTAGGGATCAAATCTTCATATAAAATTTAATTTATTCAACATCAATAATTCCCATTTTAATTATTATTCTTTTTTTTTTCAGATAAGGGAACTTTTTACATCGACAACAATTTCTCATTTTCAAGAGTTTTCTTATATGGCAATGAATTTCAATTATTTTTATTTGAAATTATTTTGATATCAACTATATTTTTAGCGACAGGAAATATTTTAATTGCAATTTTTATTATGTGTTTAGTACAAAAATTAATAAAAAAGATTTTTTGCTCAAAAATGAAAAGCAACTTGTCAGCCAAAACATTAATAGATAGAAGATTTTTACTTTAAGTTAAATAATATTTAATTGTAATTTTAAGTTTTTAATAAATAAAATCGAATAAAGTTTTGTTAAAACTAAAAATTAGAAATGCTTGAATTTTATGTTTAACGTTTAATTTTACATTGCTACAGAACCAACGAAGTAGCGCTTCTTTTGTACAGATGCATGTATATGTGATATGTATGCACAATGTTAAATTTTCTAAGAAGGCTCATTAGCATTATTATACAAAAAAAAAACTGCTAAATTTAATTAGATTTTAAAAAAATGTGACAATTAAGAATAAACTCTGAGGCTTTTCATATTTTCTTCATTAGAAAAGGTGTTACTAACACATAATCGATCATTCTTAAAAAACGATACAAATATTGCAGAGAATATCAAATTTTGTGAAATAGTGCGATTACTAATATTTTTTAACAAATTTAAAGCAAAAAGGTTGAATTGAAAGCCGGAAATGCAAATAACCCGTTTCCCTTAAATTTGTACTCGTATGTTTGTCTTTGATATTATTCTCGTGCTATCAACAAAGTACTGGTTTTTCAGTCAGACCCTCAATAATTTCTTTAATTTCTAAATTATCAAAATCTGGATAAAAATAATATATTACAATCTTTGGATTGGTTTAAAGTTTTCAAGGGTGCCATTTTTACGGGACTAGAATCTTTCATATCGATACCGTAATGTGTTTTTAATTAGTTTATTTTATTTTTATGACAGAAGAAAGAAAAAAAATAAAAATACAAAACCCCACAATAAGTCAAAATTTAATTACAGCTTTGGTAGGCAGTTCACCCAATCACTTACAAAAATCGGTTTTATATAATTTTTTATACCATTTCGTAAATTTTATTAAAATAAATTATTTTACTTTGCAATTTTTTAATTTCAATTAAGAATATAAATTGATTCCCCACTCTGTCTGAAAGTTAAATCAAGACTGATAATTTTTGTGTATGTATATGCGTATACATATAAGCATACATTGATTTGGGAATAGGTATGTATATAGCCGAACAAGTCAAGAAAATTCACGACAATTCCAAGTATCAACAATATTTGATTTAATGCATACTTTAAAAGTGAAACTTTTCACAGCTACCCAGAATGGAGCAAAACCGGGTTCATGCTATTACAAGATTCTTCACTGGGCATATTATCTGAACAAATATCATTTGCAAAAACTGGGCAAATCGAACTCCGTTTCGTGTAGATTCTGCCGGGACGATAAGGAGACGGCCATACATATTGTGTGTAACTATCTCCGACTGGCCGTCACGAGGCGTAGAAGGTTGGGCGGAACATTCTTCGTTTATTTACTCAAGATCGAGATAATATAAGTGAGATACGAGTGGACTGCAATAAACACCGCATGGCTGGCTGCGGTGTGATAAAGGTATTCCTTTGCTAATATTTGTTTTCAATAATCTGTAAATTTACAATTTGTTTACCAACAATAATTAGCAATATAAAGAAATCATAAGGAAATTTAAAAAGAATTTTTCCCAATTGTTTTACATTAATCTTATAGTGGAGGTGTGATATACGAGTATGTTTTCATTAAAGTACTTGTACTTTATTTTTACCATAGTAAAAAGGTATGTATGAAGATGATCGATTCCATCAATACATAATTATAATTTGTAAATTACATATAAAAAATCATGTAAATTAGAATATCAAATAGGTTATGAATTTATGTATGAACATACAAAAGTGACAAGGTTGGAGTAAAGTTTGCTTTTATTTCATATGTTTTACTTATTATTTGTACTTTTTATAATAAATTTACCAAAATATTCATTTGTATTTGATTATTTATTTGGAAAATATATTAAATATAATTTATAATATTATTTACATTTAGTTATATTGTTTGTATATGTAAACGCAATAATTCAGCGTTGATTGATAGAAGCTAAAAAATATTTATTAGTATTTGTATTTGGTACAAATGTTTTTGGTATAAAAAAAAATAACTTTTAGCGCACATACATTTACATACTAGTGTTCCGTACCTACAATAATTAATTTTTTTATACGAATATAATTTATAAATAAGCAACATATTCCGTATATGTGTAGGAGATTTAAAAAAAAAAAATTGTCATTCATTTATTTGAAAATTTTGAAATCATCTTCCTATATGAATGAGAATCTATATAAATACCTTTGAAAAATCTAATTATGATTTAGTTTTAATCGAGATCTAGATTTAAAAAGAATGTTGTTATTAACGAGTATTTATTTGTACATAATTGCGGGATTATTTTTTTGGTATTTGTGGTCGCGCCGTAAATACTATTGGCTATCATGGAAAATGAATTCATTGCTTGGATTACCATTTCTTGGTGTTGCATTAAATGTGAAAAATCAAGAAAGTAATTAAAAATTTTTGATTTAATAATTAATAATCCATTCATTAAAGAAATATAAAATTTTATTTTACACAAAAATAATTTTTAATATGCTGCTGTTTAAAAATAATGAGAAAAATAATAAAAAAATACATAACCTATATAGTAGTACTAATACTATGCTAAGCAAATTCTAATTAAATTCTTTAAATTAATTCAATTTAAAAATTAAAAATTTAATATTAAGAAAATGAGGTAGTGTTACGTAATATTATATAATAAATTCGATTGGTACACAAAAGTCTATATTAATTTTTTTCAAATATATTTACTAAAAATATTCGAATATGATCTTTAGTAACACAGAGCTAATCAAATTTCGCTTATATTTAAACTAACTATAAATTAGTTATTTTATAATCGTGCACTAAAGCGGCTTGAAGCACTAAAATTATTCCAAAATCTGTAATACAACTTTAATTTTAACTCAATATTAATTCAAATGCAAAAATGTTTGTTTAATTATTATACAAAAAAAATATACCCTGAAATTATTTGAATATTATTTTATTAATTTGTTATCCTGCATAATAATACAATTTAGCAGCATCGCATAGGAATTGTATTTTGTACAGTGTGTTTAAAACTCAAATTAAGTGCAAAAATTTTATACTTTTCAAATTATAATTAGTAAATTATACATATTGCATTAACTTGCAAGCTATTTAAACTAGCATAACAATAATATTTTATTGAATTAAGAGGAAATCGCGATAAAGAAAATTTTTTTTTCAAAGTTTGTTGTATGAATGATAAATGAGAAGTGAATTGTATAAGAGAAGTGAATTTAAATTAATTTTAAATGTTATTGGAAATAGTTTTTTAAAAAAATTTGTTAAACAAATAATTTTAAATTTATAATATTATTTTCATTATATATTAAAATTATTTTGAATATTTGTTTAATAAACGTATAATTAAAATTAAATATAACGAAAATAAAAATTAAAATACGAAGTGAAAATTAATCTGATAGAAAAGGTTATAGGCTGTCAGAATTTCTATAATATTTGAACCTCTATATGAAAGTGAAAGTAATTATAAATTTGTGCATATTTTTTGTAACTCTTGTCGACGTTTGACAAAGTAAATTTTTTTGTATGAAAATACAAATTACAAATTGAAAATTTCAAAAAAGAATCGATTTCTTAAGAGGATTATATCATTAAGTAATCAAATCAACAAAATTAATTAATATATATATATAATTATCTAATAGCATTATATTTACTGAAATTATTCAGCCATGGAGTGTCCATGAATTCTTATATATGAAAACTGTGTTAATTAAAAATGCTAATCTAAAATAATTTTGAAAAATTAATATTATTTGGAATATCCAGCATGTCATTTTTACTAAGACATGACGCTCCTTTTTACAAGTTATTTTGTACGTATATATTTGATTTAAAAATTAAGAACCAAAAGCAACAAAAATTACGTAATTGTATATTTATCATAGAATTTTATATTATATAGCTAGCTACTCTATTATTAAATATAGGGTGGCTGAGACTAATTAAACTACGTTTTTCTTACAACGCAAAAATATACTTGATCTTTTCTTTTTATGTTTTCAAATTTTCCAAAAAAATGAAAAAGAAATTCACAAATAATAAATAAAAAATCTTAAATACATTTCCGTCTAAGTCAATATTTGATACATTTTTAATAAAAGTGGAAAAAAATTATTTCTATTAGTGTCACTCTGTCCGTGTCACTTTTTAAAAAACTTTCTCCACCCTTTGAAATAGAAAGCTGAAGTTATATACATAAAATTATACGCAAATTGATCTTAGTAAACCTATTTATTTGTTCTCATCCTGAAAGTATTTCAATTTATAAAATTAATTAATATTTTATTACAATTCAAATTCCTTGTAGTTTTATTCATGTACTTTAATTAGCTCCAAAATTGTAGGCAAAAGGGGGCAACATTTGCTAATTCGAGTTTTATATTGATTTAATTTTGAATTACGAGCTGGCAGGATACACAATATTTAATCAAAGTACAGTTCAGAATTTCGAGAAAACTATATTCTAAACAATAAATTCGTTAACTGATATAAGTAGGTAGTTAAAAACATGGTTATACGTTACATTTTTCCTAGTTTTCCCTATATGCATTAGTAGCCGTCAATTTTTGAACTTCCTTTTCGCAAATGAACTGTAGTTAAAATAACTTTTATTAAGCTATTGTTTTATATTAACATAATTAAAATGTAAATTAGCATGATCAGTATCAGGTTTTAAAAGTATCAGATTTTTTCTGTAAAAACTAGATAGAATTTTCGGAACTTAATTTTATGTACAACATTTTCACTAGATTTTTTTGTTATATTTTGCATCGGAAATTGATCTTTTTATTAGAAAAAAAAAATATTGCGCAGTACGCCAATTACGATGAGTCCAACATTAAGCGCAGTAGAAGGGCAGCTACCTTCTCTCGAAGCATTTTGTCGTTTTTTGGGTTTTAACTAACCGGCCTAATATGGGTTTTAAAACCTCATTGAATTTTAATTAAGCTGCCCAATTTCGGGGTATATTATTTCAATAATAAATTCATTAAACATATAAAATTGCCCATAGCTGTTAATTACATAGCAATGTTACTTTAAGTTTTACTGATATTTAAAAAACTCCAAATTTGTCACTAACTCGCTGATCATCATCAATATTCTTATGGTACTTTCTGAAATTTCTGAAAATTTGTAATGTAAGCTAATTTTAGTATACAAATAAACAAAAAAATTATAAAACTTTAAACTTTTGCCTCAAACCTCTTAAACTAGGAAATTGAAAGTTTAAATGAAATGTTTAATGTATGGATCCTTGTTGTAAGTAAAGTAAATAAAACATAAATTTCATCGATCTATATGCTATATAAACAGCGTGATATATCAATTAGCTAAAAATAATTTTCTTTGACAGTGAGAGTATCGATTGTTGATTATTCTTTTGAACATGCACCTTATGAACGTTCACATTTTTGAAGAGTTAGATACTTGGCTCTATATTAAATCTAAAAAATTTTTGACAATTGGAACCATAAATGGTCTGTCTCGTCTTGGCAACATTTCACATGAAAATATTTTTAGCGTAATATAGAATTAAAAACTAAAATCTTAATTTTAAGGTATTTTAGGTTTTAATGTATATTGAAATTTAACACATTTTATTTCTTCCCATTTCAAATATATCTTATAAAAGCTTATTTATTTCTGTAAAAACTTAGCAACTGCATTTACTAGGCATTAATAAATCTAAATTTATTATTTTAATACCTATAACATTACATACATATGCGTTGATACACATATAATACCATAAATTAACACTCACTTAGATTTTTGATTAAGGACAAACAGCTGAATGCTTATCTAACGTCGTCTTGATTTATGCAGTAATTGAAATTACTGCATAAATTAAGATTGACATTAGATTCAAATAGACGTCCCAGCTTATTTAATATCGTCCATTTCACATACATACATATATCATAAAAGCACGTTATAAAGTAAAGTTAATTTTAAAATATAAAGGTAAATTGTGTAATCGCAAATTTTCTAACTGCAAGTGCACTAAAAATTCTTGTAAATTTATGAAATGTAAAATTGAACAAAAAATTTGTTTTTAAATAAAACAGCTATTTTACAATTTATTGAGGATGCCCGTAAAAAAATAATTCCACGTTTTGGAATTGTTTGGTTTGGTCCAGAACCTTTTTTTTATGTTGGTGAGCCTGAAATGATGAAAAAAATTTTCACCTCATCAAATTTTATCAATAAAGCAGATTATTATAAAATTGTTGGGAAGCATTTTGGCGAAGGATTATTTTCATCTGAAGGTATTTTTGTTATATATATTATTTTAATATGTTTTTTAATTATTTAATTTTATATTAACATTAAATATATATGTGCCTGTATAAATAATTTAAGTTCCAACTTGGAATAAACATCGTAAATTAATCGAACCAGCATTTCATATTAATATATTAAAAAGTTTTTTACCAATTTTTAATGAGCAAGCTGATATTCTAGTTAAAAAATTAAAGCAATATTCTGGTAATGATATGAAAGAATTCAATATAGTACCTTTATGTCAATTAGCAACTTTGGATAGCAGTTGTCGTTAGTCATTATAAAAATTATAATCTTTGTCATTTTAAAATTATGTTTTGTAATTTTTAGAAACAACAATGGGGAAAGTTATGAATTTTCAATTGAATCAAAACATGGATATTTCAAATTCTTATAGCAAGTATGTATATGTAAAATTTAAAAACTTCTATGTATATGGTATTTGCCAAACACAAAATTTTTTTTCCGTTCGCATAATATTAAAGGAATTGAACTAACATCGCACGCAAAATTAAATAAATTTGGAAACTTACATATCGTAATTGTGTATTTCACTTCTTTGGTCTCGCTCTTTATTCATATCCAAATCAGAACAATCTTTTTTTTTTATTGAAGTGTAATTTTTTCCAATAAGACTTTTTAAAATAATTTTTTCAATTGAATTTTTTTCTCAAATTATCGTCTGAATCTGTATCATTTCCAAAAACAAATAGAATTAAATTTTGTATACATTTTAGAAAAAACGAAAATCGCAATAAGGAAAAATTCTTCTCACTCGAAAATTGCGTTGTACGGATATATGATAGTATATCACTATCTTTTCACTTGGCAAACAAGTGAAAAAAAGATCGGGCCCTGGATTTCAGTATATGTAATCACAATGCACACACATAAATATTCGATTTTTTCATAGTAATATGTTTGATCTAAATATTTTTCTATATTTATTATAAATTATATGCAATATATACATACATATATTACATTACATACACATATTTATATGTTTCACTATTTTAATATAAAATGACGCAATTTGAGGAAAACGTATTATATAATATTACCTAAATTTGTGTTTCGTATTTGATTAATTCGAAAATTCCATTTTAGTTTTGTTTTCTAATTACTTCGACGTTCATTTTAAATTCTAGTTTATAGATTATTGAATTATTGCGTTCACTATATGTATATGGTAAAAATTTTGTGTCAAAAATTATTAAGAACCGCATACAATTAAAAAACATTTTCCTGCAAAGAATTTTAATTTTTTATTAAAAAAAATTTTTTAAAGCATTTTGAGGTTAATTACAAAAAGGATGTTCAACCCACTTTACCATTTTGATTTTATATTTGAATTAACTAAATGGGGAAAAATTTTACACGAATCACAACAATGCTTAAAATTATTCGTAACTAAGGTAAGCAAATAAAATTAAAAAAAAAATTATACACTTTTTTTTTTTTTTTCCTTTTCACTCCTAGAAGGAGCATAGGGCTAGTGCATGATTTCTCATGCACTAGTTTCATAGCGTCATAGAGTTTAACTAGGAAGGTGACTAACCTGCCGTAGTTTTTTTATTTATATTAATTATTTGAGGTTATTAATATTTACTGTTTATTTTTCTTAGTTTTTTTTTTTTTTAATATGGAATATTACGAATATTTGAAAATTACTTGTATAATATTTTTTTTATTAGTATTGTATATTAAGTTATAATAATATTGAATATAATTTTTATAGTGACCTGACCGGGGTTTGAACCCGAGACCCTTCGGTTAAAGGACCGGTGCCATAACCACTGCACCAATGGTCAGAAGCTTAAAATGTTAAGAAGCTTAAAATACACTTGAAGCTTAAAATGTCAAAATTAATAATTAAAATTCCATTAAAATTGTTTTGCTACACAATTCAGCATTTAGAAATAATTAGCTGAATTGGGTATTTAACCGTTATTAATGTAATTTTAGAGTCTGTCATCGAATGACTAAATTAATATAAAATTACATACATACATACATATAGTAAAAAAATTTAATTTTTCACATTGTTAACACTACATTGTTAAAATTAAAGAATATTAAAAACATTAAAATATTTTAAAAAAATTTTCAGCTGGTTCATCAAAAATTGGAAGAACGTAAATATTCTAAAATAGAAAATTTCAGGGAAAATAACAATGAGTATCGTGAAATTGACTGTGATCAAAATGAATTTTTAAAATCTAATAACATATTTATTGATCTTCTAATTGAATTCTATAAAAGAAGAATATTTAATTGGGAAGATCTGGAAAATGAATCTAATATAATGATATCTGCGGTATCCAAAATTAAATTATAAAAAATCTTTACGTCTTAATATTTTTATTTTGTTTTATTTTGTTTGAAGGCTTATGAAACATCAGCGAATACTGTAGCATACACTATAATTTGTTTAGCAATGTTTCCTGAATATCAAGAACGTTTATTTCTTGAATTATTACAACAATTTCCAGAAAAAAATTTTAATGTTTCTGCAGATGATTTATCAAAATTATCTTATTTAGAGATGTGTATTAACGAGAACATGAGATTAATGGCACCAGTGCCTTTAGTAGGAAGAAAAGGTATTGAAAATTTTCCAATACAATCTGAAGGAATTTGTTTACCGAAAGGAGTACAAATTATACTCGATATATTTGGCATGCAACGTGAAAAGGCGATATGGGGTGAAAATGCACTTACATATTATCCGGATCATTTTTTGCCAGAAAATTTGAAATCTATCCACACATTTGCATTCTCACCATTTACACGTGGAATTCGTACTTGCATTGGTAATATAAGTTATAAAATACATATTATGTACAAAAAAAAGGAAATTGATTTGGTGAAAGCAAAGCTGATCTCATTACATATATCCTAATGATTAATTTAACAAATATTTGAATTTATTTTAGTTAAATTTCCTTTATATATACGTTTACATATTTCAAATAAAAAAAAAAAACAAAATTAGTTACTTTCTGGTTAATATGTACAATATATGTACTTCCAAATAACATGCCGAAATCAAGAATTAATTAGTTTATTAAAGTAGCTAAGCATAAATACATAAGTATACATGTTTATATCTAATTTCATTATTTCTCAGCGTTACAAATGCTATGGCACATTTAGAATTTAAACGGGTATATAATATATTAACACTTAAAAATTTTAGAACGCTCTACATAGTCTAAGCTCTAAATAGTAGTTCTATTTAAATAATTTTTTGAGTTTGTAAAATATTCTCGAATTTTCCATGTTTTAACTTCAACTTTTATTTTAAAATTAATCCTTTATAAATTATAATAATAAAAATTCTATGGGTTTTTTATGTAGCATATAAGTAGTGTATTTGATCTATATTTTTCCTGCAAAGCTCAAAATACATTATTTTTTGTTCATAAAAGAAACTATTGGCCTAATAATAAAAAAACTTTTCATTAAATACTTGAAAATGTTTTGAAAATAGTAGAAATAAATTTAAATTACTCATAGAACTAATTTAACTAAATGCACTTTCGATGTTTTATAACATTACTAAAGTAATTGTATTACTTCACTTAATTAGACTTATTTTATTATTCAGTATTGAATTTTTTTTAGGTTCTAAATATGCAATGCTGTCAATCAAAACAATGTTGGCGAAAATTCTAAGAAATTACAGATTTGAAACAGATTACAAATTAGATGACATACAATTTGTAGAGGATGTAACATTAAAAATGAAAAAATATCCCTTACTAAGAATTTATGAAAGATAAAAATAAAAATATTTTATATAAAAACAAAGCTCTTAATGTTTTAATTTAACATAATATTTTAATCTAGCGTTCCAAATCTGATTCCTGTATAATAAATGTTAATTAATTTTATTTTTGTCTTTTTTTCTCTTTTATTTTTTTTTTTAAATTTCCTTACAGAATTGTTGCAATATATAGCGGAAACACGAAAATTATTTTATCCTAAATATGGTATAGTATGGTTTGGTCCCAATCCTGTATTTTACTGTAGTACGCCAGAATTGATGAAAAAAATTTTGCCATCACCAGTTTTTGTCAATAAAGCATACTATTATGATATAGTAACAAAACACTTAGGAGAGGGGTTATTTTCTTCTAAAGGTAAATATGTTCATATTTTAACTGGAACTCCACGAAACAGTGAGGTTAATGTGTCGTCAAAATATTTGAGTTAAACTACAGGAAGAACAATTTGAAACAGAAACCAATTATGAATTAATTTATATGGAATATAATATAAAGAAAAATATTGTCGGAATAGAGTAATTCATATAATTATTAATTAAGTAATCGGTTAAATAAATCGGTTTAGTAAAAACTGTTATTAAATAAGTAATTAGAAGATTTATTTTAATTATTTACAAAGTAGCTACTTTAAATATACAAATTAATGCTTTTGAACAGATGTGCCTTTAAAATTTTAAATCACACTAAAGAAATTTTTAAATTAAACATAATTTTCAATTTTTATCAATTTTTTAATAGAACTTCATTTATAATTGACAACTTAAATTAGTTTCTACTAAAGGAACTTAAGAGCTTCAGTATTATAGAACTTAGAATAATTTAGTGAAAAGAATTGTTACACCATATTGCTTTTTATTTTATAATTTAATTTAATTATGTACAAAAAAGGTGAGAAAAATTTTCAAATACATAATTAAATATTCTCGCGATATTTCAAGTAAAACAATTTTCGACTTTTTAGAATTTTTCAAAATTGAATTTCGTATTGATATTAATTTTATAGAAAATGTAATATTAAACAAAAAAATAAAAATAACTTTTAAGCCAAAAAATTGTCACGTACCTTTTTCCTAATGATTTTCTTGTAGCTACTCCATTCCACAGTCTCCTTATTTGAACAGCAAACGGAATCACATACATGGTTTTCTAAAACTGTTTATTCCATAACTAAATATTATTACATTTGTTTTTAAAAAATTTTGTTATAATTTATTTATTATAATAATTTGCGAACTCATACCTACAATTCAAATTCACAAAAAAAAAACCAAATTTTGCATGCCCTTTTAACTTTCGAATTTTCTAGTAATTATTTGAAAAATATGATCACTTTTTATTTTACTAAAACTAACTATACAAAATTATTTTACAATTTAGTTTTTTTAATACTAACAATTTTTTTTTTACAACAATGGGAAGCTTTTTTAATAATTTTATTAATATTTAACTTTAATCGATCAGACAAGAATCCGAAAACACAGTTATGCGCATACGAATTAAATCGTATGCGAATTCAAAGGGATGCTTCATGAGTGCGAATTTTTGTATAAGTAAAAATCAAAACGATTTCGTTCGATCGCCTATATTTAATGTCGTGGTATATTTTGTTGTCTTTATATTAGAAATACATTTATAGCAGAACTATGAGCGTTCTTTTGCACAGTGTAATGTAAAGAACAAGATAAATTTATAAACACTCTTTTAAGATTTGTTAGAGTCCCTAAATAATATGCAAGAATTTACTCAAAAAATTTTGGTATAATATATTCGGAGCTCATTTTATCATGAGTTTAATAATAACTGTAAATAAAAAAATACACGTCTAAATAATAAAAATAGTTAGAGTTCTTTATGAAACCAGTAGCTTTATTAAGAAAATTTTTATAAAGCTGTTTAAAGTATAATTACTTTAAAGTAAATTGTCTGGCAACGAAGGAGTGCGCGCGCATATATTTTATATGAAAATCAATATTTCTCATTTTTTGAAGCTGTTTTTCTTTCTCTGAAATGGTTGAATCAACCTTAACCACTTTAACTTTAGTTTAGCGTAGGTTTTTTAAAATATTATTTTACGCTTCAAAAAAGTGACGTAAATTTCAATTTAAAATTTTGAATTGAAATAAAATAGTTTGAAAAAAGTTTGTATACATACATACATGTATAAATATTCATTCTTATGTCCGTATATAAAAATATATAAAAATATGTATGTACATACATATGTATATATAACAAAATATTTTTAATGAAATTCTTCTCTATAATTTTTAGCTCCAGTTTGGAATATTCATAGAAAATTTATTGAACCTGCTTTGCGTGGTCATCTTCTGAAAAATTTTTCACTTATTTTTAATAATGAAGGAAATTATTTAATTAAAAATATTGAAAAAATAGCTGATGGAAAAACAGAAATATTTTTATTACCATATTTGCATGCTTGTTTTTTAGATGTTTCATGCCGTAAGTACAGTATACACTTTCATGCCGTATAGTTTTATTTATTGAAGGACAAAAAATTTCATGTTAAGCGCAGTCTGTCATAATAAAAATGAACTAATTTTCTATTTCTAATAATTTTATAAATTGTTTGACACTTTACCTTTTCCGTAAAAATACATTTTCTATTAGAAGCTTCTATTAACTATGAACTAAATTTAATGTTATTAACCTACTTATTGCTGTCGATTGTCCTAAATATCACATAAAATTTTTAATCCAATTTAAATTAAAAAAACTGTTTGGTTAAAATTTCACAATTTAATTTTAATAGAAACAACATTGGGAAAACGAATGAAATTTCAAGAAGGTGAAAATTCCGAAATAGCTGGAGCATATTGCAAGTAAATACAATTTTTTAATTGAATGTTTTATGGTATACTTATGCAGATATGTGAAAATGCTTTTATTTAAAATTTTCTATTCTAGTGTTTTTAAGCTGGTAGCTACAAGAATTTTTAATCCATTATATATGTATGACTGGATTTTTAATCTTAGTAGATGGGGTCCAGAACTAAAAGAATCACAAAATATACTACATAAATTCTTGTATAATGTAAAATTGTACCATTACTTCAAATTGAATAAAATTTCAAAGAGTTTCATTTTTTCTTTTAGATTTTGAAGGAGAGACTTGAAAAAAATATTCAAGAATCAAAGATAACTCTTCAAGAAGAAAATAAAACAAATGAAAGTGATGATTTCACGAAACAAAAAAAAATTTTCGTTGACGTTGTTATTGATTGCTTCCGGAACAAACAATTCTCTTGGGATGATTTGGAAAATGAATCAAACGTTATACTAGCATCGGTAAGTTTGCAGTTAATATTCTATTAAAAATAGTAGCAGCGACAATTTGCTACTAAACATCATCATTTAATTAACTTGAACCTAGAGGTTATGGCATTCAAAATAATTGCTCATCAAATTTTTCAGCACCAATGATAAAAATTTCAATAATAAATTTTCAACACGATTATTTTACTAACTTATCTTAATTAGTAAATATTTTATATTTTATGCACCTCATTTAAGAAGAAAGAATTGAATCTACTGAAGTTTGACGCACAATCCACTGAATTTTGCGGTTTTGAGTTTTTCACATTTTTGTAAATATGAAATTCATTTATTTCATACTATGCTCCTATACTCCAACTATGCTTTACCAAAATAAATGAATAAGTTTTCTTTGCAATTTTAAAATATATTTTAATCCAGGCTAACACTCAATGGATCTATAACGTTGTTTAATATTTTTTACACAAAATAAAAATTTTACCTCTTTAAATTTTATTTAATTGTAGATTTTTCAAGTATCTAAAAATTGTTACGCAAATTATGTACTCACAAACTTCTTTTATATAGTCACCATTTTTATATACAGTCTCTATTAATTTAATAAGCAGTTTTTATATCTATGTTTTTTTCTTGCTTTTGTGAATTTTATATTTTCATTTTTAATCTCCCTTTAATATCTTTCGATTGAATCAGCCATTCCCAAATGCTTAACTTTACTAAACTTAAAGGTTTCTGACGCTAATTATCGCACATTGATTCAATTTTATAATCAGAAGTACGCCTTTTCTTCAACAGAGAACTATTTCTTGGCTAGAACAGATACAGCAACTATTAAAATTCAGCATTGAAAAAAAAGGATACTTAAACATGAAATATTCTTTAATGTTATTGAAATATAAGGCAATCTCTTTGATTGTAAAAACTTATTGAAGAGTTTCTAAAGATAAACTTAAAAAGATACTAAAGAAATTTTTCTTTTATTTTGTTTTACATACGTATAACAATTGTATTATATTTGAAGAATATAAATGATTATTATTCCGAATACAAAAAAGGAGCTGTTTTTACATTTGAAATAAGTTGATACAAGGGATTTTAAACCGAAAATACCAAGTGTGCAGTTTAAATATATTTTTTGCATTACTTTTTTTATAGTTTTCTAATTTTTAGAATTTGACACAACCATTATTAACTTTCAGTCCTTTGAATCATCTGCCAGTACTCTAACAAATACACTAACTTTACTGGCTATGTTCCCTCAACAACAAGAACGCTTATTTGAAGAACTCAAAATCGAATTTCCCGACAAAAATTCGGAAATGCTACCGGAGCGCGTACATCAATTGCCATACTTAGATATGGTCATTAATGAAGGAATGCGTCTATTGGCCCCAATACCTCTTGTTGGTAGAACTGCAGGAGCTGATTTCGATTTGGGTACTGGAGTAACAATTCCTAAAGGAACACAAGTTCTCTTAGATATATTTAACATGCAACGGGATCCGGAAGTTTGGGGCTCTGATGCTCAAATGTTCAATCCAGAACATTTCTCTCCAGAATATTTACAAACCAGACACCCATTTGCTTATCTACCTTTTGCTAAAGGGATTAGATCATGTGTTGGTAAATTTTTAAACCAAAATCTGAAACAAATGCTTTAAGATTTATCATTTTATAGGAAGTAAATATGCGATGGCCGGAATGAAAATGATTTGTACAAAACTAATTAGAAATTACAAAATTTCAACAGATTTCAAATTTCAAGATCTTGAATTTAGGGAAGATATTGGTTTAAAGTTTGTAGAAGTGCCGAAATTGCGTTTTGAAAAAAGGGAATAAATTATGTATTTTTATCCGTATAAATTTTTTGTTTTATTTATAATTTACTTTATATTTAAATAAATTTAAAAAAAAAACTGTTGTTGTTATTTTTGTTTAAAAACTTCCTAATCCTTATTAAAGTTCAAAAAGTTTATCAAACTACAATGAAAGAAAAAAAGTACATATGTATATATATATACAATAAAGTATTCTTGCACAAATATTGACGCAGTGGAATTTTGTTTATTTATGATATTGAACGGTAACACAAATTAATTGTAAATCAAGTTCAAGGAAAATGAAAACTTATTGCTGTTATAGTAAGTACCTTGAATATCAAAATAAAAATTTTTACATGAAATTTGTGACTTACTCATTGGACTTTTTTAAATAAAATTTTTTTAAATTTTCTTTAAACAAAATACGTAATAAATAAAAATAATAAATTATTATTAAGTTCTTCTATACGTATTCTAACTATTCCAACTATTCGACCATAACAATTTTTATACACAACTGGTGGCTAATGGTTATAATTTTCTAATCTGCATCAATAAAAAGAATTTCTGATTAATAAACTTGAGCATTTATTCAATTATCGCTGCATCCTTATATTACGTACTCATATAATGTCGCTGCGAATCTTATATTTTCTCAAAATGAAAATTAAGGTGAAATTTACATGTGGAATTATAAAACCAGTCATTTGGAACGGTCTGATCAATTTAATGTTAATAAAATTAAGTTAAGCTTAATCCATTTCAAAACTTGAATTTTTTTTTTATTGTTTTCAAAATTAGATAAAACAGAAATAAACCTTAAATATGTAATTACAAAAAATCAAGGTATAAAATGAGATACATGCTCTATGAATTTTAAAACCATTTTTATTCAGTGGTTTCTTTTTATTTATAATATAGTTAATTTAAAGATAAGGAATAAAATTAAAGAATACTTTTTATTCATTTCTACATTTGTTTTTCTTTTTTTGATTAAGGATAGGAAATATTTGTTGGTATTCTTTTTTTCTTACATAAAACCCAAAATTTATGTATACAAAACTAATATTCTGTGCACCAACATCTAAGATTGCATAAAAACTCCTTACTGGTTGTATATAAATATGTATATATATATATACATATATATATATATATATATACACATATATATATATATACACATATATATATATATATACATATAATAATGTATATATATACATATAATAATGTATATATATACATATAATAATGTATATATATACATATAATATATATATATATGCACATTAAGATATTTTTTAACATAATACAAAAAAAAAAAAAAGATGAAATCCGAAAAGTTTCATAAAATTTGAAAGTTCTTAAAATATTTTTTATTGCATCTAAAATCTTTAATATTAAATGATCCTGGTTTTAAAATATTTTATATTATTCTTTGTAATCCTTCTTATTTTCCTGACAGGATGCAAATTTTTTTAATTTATTTTCCAAGTATTTTCTTTGATGTTTTATAAGCTTTGATATTTAGTTTTCCCTTTCTGCACAGTTAAATTTTTTCTTCCAATTGCAATTATAAATTAATTATAGAACAATAAAATGACTTATCAACTACAAAATCTTTGTCAAGTATCTATAAAACTAAATTTATTTTTATTTAGCATCTGTCTCCATTTTAACATCAGTGGAAGTTTCATTATTACTATCCTTTTTTGAAATTTTGCCTTCACCTTAAAGAGTATTATGAAAGTTAAAAAATCAGAAAAAAAACTATGCATAAGCACTTACATTCATTTTCAGCATCACCTGAACGCTTACGTTTTCGGTGAAGACGCCAAGGTCTTGATTGAAATTTAGGTGCTGGTAAGGGATCCATTCCAAGTACCTAAAAATATCAATAACAAATTTGACAAAATATTCAAATAATGTATTTATAAAACAAAAAAAAAAGTTATCAAACCTTATAAATTTGTCTAAACGCAATAAAACGCAAAAATTGTTGGGCGGATACTGTCAAATCTTCCTTTTGTTGTTTTGTTAGACCAGATAAAGCGTCATGCGGTTCTTTTTCACATGGATCCAATATTCCAGGTCCATTGATTAAAAACCCTGTTGAAATTGCTTCCATAACACGGCGTAGACAATCTCCTGGACTTAACGGCATGCTGGCTGAAGAAATTACTTTTTCAACAAGCAATTCCATTGCCTAAAGAAACGTTGGAATTATTTTGAAAACAGTTTTGATATGAAATGCTGAATTATTGTAAATAAATTACCCATTGATTTAAAGCTGCCCATGTTCCAACCCGCTGACATAAATCACGTAAAATTCTCATTACCATTACACAAGATTGTAATCCAGTTGCTCTAGCCTTTATAATTTTATTTATTAAAAATTGTAATTTAGGTTAATTCAACTTAAATATACTAATGTCAATTAAAAAAAAAGTGCTACTATTAACATTCAAAATTTAAGATCATAAATTAAATTAACCAGCTGCACCTCAAAATTCTACAATTATATTAAACTAAATATTATCTACAAAAACAAAATTTACTATATAATTTTTTTTTTTTTTATTTTTTTTTTTAAATAAAAATATACGGAGGTGCTTTGAGTTAGCTAGGATTTTTATTCAAAATTTTTGTACATATTTAATTTTTTTAGTAAAATTTTTATTTTACTTTATGTAAACATATATTCATTTTTCTAATTAATCTTGTCATTAAAATTGAATTTATCAAACAATATGAAATATTATGGGTTTTTCCCTAAAACACTACGGAAGAACTGAAGGAAAAAAAATTAGATTTTTTAGTTAAATAATACATAACGCTAAAATTTACAAAATTTCCTTTTAAAATTTTAAAAATGTTTAGCTATTTAACAACTAAGACATGTACTTAATATTAATTATGACTAAAAACATTTGAGGGATTTTGATTGTTGGATTAGAATGCCAACATCTATGAGCAACCGGCTTTTACAATACATATTTCTCAATTTTCTTTCAACATTTTTTTATTCAGTTATTAAAAAATATCTTTTTTTTTTTGGTTTTTGTTAATCTTAAAGCGACAAAACTTTGAGCAATTTATCATGTTAAATACATTATTCAATATCCCGTTTTCAATTGGTCGCAGTCATGTTTTCCGACTCAACTTTTCAAACAATTTTGGATACCCACAAATTTATATTAATGCTGCTTAATTAAAATAGCTTTTGAAAAAAATGAAAAATTTTTGAAAATCAAAATCATATCTTTTTTGATAACTTATACAATTCTATAGGAAAATCGAATTAAAAATTATTCAAATTGACACAAAATATTTTTGGTTTGATAATTTATCAATTTTATATACAAATCATCCAATTTATATCCACATTTTTCTCAAAAAGTTCGAATTCAAATTTTAATACCTATCTAATGTATTTATACAACATATTTGTAGGTTAAGCGTTACAAATGCTGCCAAATTTCTTAGTTTTTAACTTGTATGCTAAATAACTTTTCCTTATGTTATTATTGTAATTTTATTTAATTTAATTTTCTTCAGTTCTTGAATATAAATTGTGTGTGATTCTCTCTTTGATAAAGAAAAATTTCAATACAACTCATTTTTATTTTATTTTTTATATATTGATAGTACATAAAAACATTAAAAACGCGATGTTACAAAAAAAACATCCTTTCTTTAGTAGTAAGCGGATTTTTTTTAAATATACGACCATACTAATGAAAAAATATCTAAATTTGATTTTATCCTATATTTAAATTTTTGTTTTTTATTTTCTTTGAACAAATAAATTATAAAAATTTATTAAAAAATATAGAAAATAAATGAAATAAAAATTATTGAATATAATTAAAAAACAAACCTGGAACCATTTTGCATGCCTCAATGCGGCAAGTGCCTGTAGACAGGGTTCGCGCGGTAGAAGATCTTCTGTTTTCTGAACATTTTGTTCATTTGCTGTAGTATTGTTTGCATCTAAAAAAAGTGGGGATGGATAACAGAATGTTTGACCATTAATCACATTTATATACAAAATTTGTCTGTTTGGTTTTTTTATTCTGGTGTAGGCATATAGAAGAATATTAACTTTATTTTGGAATGACGAAACATGCTAAAAATATACTATATAAATTGATAAAAACTCCAAATGTATTTCATTATTTTGTTTTGTTTCTGTTTGTCCAAAATTTTTAAAACATGACAGGATATTTTTGTAATTGTTTTAAGTACTATAAATTATTTTTACGTCTGCTTTTATAGGATCCTCGTCGAAAACAATCTTGGATGGAGAATCTATCAATAATTAGTAACTTATTAACACGATCAATACTGTGAACAATGCAGCTATTTCAAATATATTTTTGTGTGCAATTTTTTTTAACATTTATACATTTTCATGTTATCAAATACAACATTTCGCAAAATTTCTTTTTTTGTTGGAATTTATGGTCAAAAATCCTGTATAAGAAACACCCACACTTTATTTTTTTTTTCGTTTTATGTTGAGATTTTTCTTTGTTTTTTATTTTCTAATCCTTTTTTTTAATTGCCATAGTTTGCACACATATTCGTTTGATATCTTCATTATTTTTTTCTAATTTCAATAAGACATTTCTTTTACACAGATTTAAAATTAACACTCGAAGACAAAATTGACAACCTAGCTAATTTTCAAGCACTGAATTTAAGTTTTCTTTTCTTTTTTTTTTGTTTTCTTTTCTTTGATTAAGAGACTAATTTGAATAAATTAAAAAAAAAAAAAACAAAAAAAAAAAAAACGAAATTATAGCACATTGCTTCACCTGGTTGGATGTCTCTTAACAAACATTTATTTTTAAATTATTTAACATACATACATGTGTGTATGTATGTATTTAAGGGTTAACAATATTTCCAAAATTTATTTGATGTTTCATTTGATGTTACGAAAAATATTTTAGAGAATTGGTTAGACATCCAATTAGTTGGCGGTTGTGCATTAATTTTGTAAATTGATTTTTATTACTGAACATAATATGAAATTTCATACTTTTAATAGAACAAATTATCGTAAAATTTAGGTTTTCAAATTAAAAAATATATGTATATATGTTTTAATTTATTAACATACCATATCGCTTTATTTCGGGATTAAAAAAGTCATAACCTTTACTGTGAAACTTCGAACAAACCTCAACTTTCGTACTTTGTTTCGTTTTAAATAATTAAATAATGTAATTTAAATTTGCGAAGCAAAATTATAAATAAAAAAAAAGTTGTTTCCTTTTTATTTTTCAAAAATTTGTTGTTTATAAATAATGAGGTTTGCAAAATTTAATGTTACGTAAAATCTTTAATCCCGCATCGATAGTTTTGCTACTATAAAAAATTCTGGGCAGATATTTTGTTCTTGATTTTTACTTTTTTTTTATTTTTCTTATTAATTTTGCTGCCTATTTTGTTCGCATTGATCATTTTATGTTTTAAGATTCGCTAAAATTTACAACAAATTAAAATTATATATAGTTTTTACATGTTCTCCATTACACGATTATCTATAATGCGCAGTCCAAAAAAAGCCATAAAGTTCAGATTTAAAAACGAAAAAAATAGGCTTCAAAGAAGAAATAAAATCTTTTTTTCCGATTTTACTTTTTTGAAAATCTAGAATTAAGTTCTTGAAAAATTATTTTTATGGCTAATTTATTAAAACATCAAAATAAAAAAAAAATCTTAAATTTATAAGATTTTAGTGCCAAAAAATAATTTTGCAGTCCTGTTTTTCTTTTATACAAGTATTATAAAAAAATAAATAAATAAAAAAGAAATACCTTGTTCTCTAACTAGCGGAGAAGTTAGAGATACTTTAACCGTAACTACTCCATCAGTTACCATTACAGCGCCTTCTTTCTCTTCTAAACTGACATTATATGTATGATCCGCCGAGATTTCTTTCAACTTAATTGGCAATTCATTGGCTACACGTTTTAATAGCTTAGCATTTGGTTTTTCTGCACATAACACTACCAATTGTACAAGATTATCTCCTTGCAAAAGCAGGCCTTCAAATTATGTTGAAAAATTAGTAAACAATTTTTAATGAAAATGTTTTTCCTTATTACCTTTAGCTAATAAACCCACCCTCATTACACCTTTAAGAATTCGAACATTTCCAGTACTTTCTGCCTCTTTTTGGAAGGAAAACATTTGATTATCTCTTCCATCCTCCTTAGACTTATTATTTGAGTCCTTACTTTCATTTTTACTTTCCTCATTTGATTTTGCTTCACCATTTGTAATACTGCTGTTTGTTTTATTATCTGTAAGAGCATCGGAAACAAATTTTAAAGCTCTTTCTGTGTGAGAAACTATTCGCTGAATAGTTTGTAATTCTTCTTCTTTTGGATAAATTTCTGCATGATGCGCGATAACATGGCGGTCATCGGAGCTTTCTGGTCTTCGACCTGGCATCATTCCGAAAAATGGGTGCATAGGTGGCCCATGACCACGTGGTGGACCCCCACGCGGAAATCCTCCGCGTTGCATCCAACTCATGTAATCAAACTCATCCCCAAATCTTCTATGCTCTTCCCAATACATATTATCATCTTCACCATCATGATGCCCCCCATCATTACTTCGACGAGAATTCCAGTAATCGGCTTGCATTAAAGCTCTTTGAGCTCTGGCTTCAGCTAGTCGGCGTTGCCGAGGAGTTGGCTTGAAATCAACAACAAGATCTGGTTGTACTTTCCTTTTATACTGAAGTCGGTGTCTGCGTCCTTTCATGTGCATTTCTTTAGCATTGGGATCGTTAAATTTACACTCACACAATTTGCAATTGAAGCTTAAAATTTTGCCCTCATCATCTTTAATTTCTTCTATATATTCGCTTCCAACAGGTTTTATTTCATCTTCTTTTCGTTCTTCAACCTCAACCTGCTGCGTAGGTATTGGAGTTGTCTCTGTACTCTCTTGTGTAACACCTTCAGTGGGTGTACTTGCTGCTGATGCAGTCCCCCCTTCCGCGGGAACAAAGTTAATTTTTGTCATTTTCTTCGGCTCAACAGATGGAATTGGCTTACCCAATTTTTGGTGTAATTTTACAACTTTTTGATGTTTTGAACCCCTTACATGAGCAGCATATGCATCGGTTCCTGTACATGTGACATCACACAACTCGCAATGATAATTGTTACCGCGGTTTTGGCTAGCCGTTGCAGCCGTATTCGCTAATTTTAAACTTGCTTCGCGTTTTTTGTGTTTTTGTCCTTCTAAGTGCTCACGATAAGTTTGAGGGCCTGCGCAACTTATTTTACAAACTTCACAATAATGTAATTGTTGAGGTCGGGGTTGTGCTTTAGTACGCGCTTTACCTTGCCCTGGCTTCTTAAATTGTTGTTGCCAACCAGGACTTAAAAATTAAAAAAAAAATTAATTGTTTTAAAGATATTTAATTTAAAAGAGCACTTCTTACTTTGGTTGTTTTCCAGTTTGTTGTTGCGCAACATACATTGTGGCTGCACTATACAGTGCAGCATCATAATTCGAATATGTAGTTGTGCCAGCAGCTGCTGCTGGAGCACCTGTTGCAGGTGGCGTTTCTGTATTAGTATTTTATTATTAAATTAATTATATAATTGAACTAAATTTCAAAATTATTTTAATATTTATAAAATTGCTTACGTTTTGGTGCTGCGTTTTGATTGCTTTTTGCAACTGTTTGTGACTGATTTGTAGTAGGCGTAGCTTTTGTTGCCGGTGGTATAATATTTCTTACAGGTGGTGCTGAATAATGAGTCTGTTTTTTTCATTTTTGATATTTGACACATAAAAGTTAAAATTATTCGTTATATTTAAAATTACAAAATCATTTTATGTATTTATAGTCTATTACTTTAATTCCGTGACTCTAAAAATAGGTTTAAAAATATACCTACTTTTAGAAGAAATATTAAAATTCATTCACATGATATTTAAGAAATCACATGAAATCAAAGAAATCTTATTTAATTGGATAGAAAATTAAATATTCATACAGGCATAATATCAATATTTAACCACATTTTTGTATTACTATAACTCAAAAACGACCTTAAGTTACTTTAAAAAAAACCATTTATATATGTATATTTTGTATGAAATCGGGAAGCGATCAAATGCGAATGAAACGCAAAACTTCATAATTTGTGACGGTAATACTTAGAAATCAAGCATACATAAAATAATTGATCGTACAAGGCGTATACTTCATGAGTTAAGTATTAATAATAAAGGATAATATGAACCGAATATTTTATGAGCATTTGATTGCTTTCTGATTGAAGGAATTGCAATTTAATAACAAGAATGTTTGTAACCTTGCTTGGTGTTGGAGGAGCGTAATTAGTTGCTGGAGCGGCATAAGCTGGAGCGGTGCCGGCTGCTTGCTGGTAATAAGTTTTTGAAGTGTCATAAGTTTGAGCGGTTCTGCCATAACCATAATCATAAGCAGGAGCCCCAGGTGCACCTAAAAAACGTATTTATGTTACACATATTAGAATTTTTCATTAAAGCAAAATTTAATAGATTAAATTTTAAATAGATAATCTAACTATAAAATAAGAAAAAAAATAGTAAAAGATAGTAAAATCTTACTACCTATGTATGTATATAATTAACAGCTTCAAGAAATAATTGGGTGAATGGTTTTTAAAAATTGGGCAATAAGTAAAAATTTCCTTGAATAACAATAAGTTAATTTTAGCAAACTTCCCTCATACCAAATTTATGTATCTTTAACTTTTGGATTATGTATACATTATTAATTGTACCTAATTTTCTCAATACTTCTGGATAGATAGGTACCCACCTACATATTATCAAAGCAAGTAGTGGATTGAAAAAACTTAAGTTGTATTTAAATAAAATTTGTAAAGTTTAGTATAGTGATAAGCTGTATATTTTACTTTGAGCAGAACATTTATCAAATATCCAGGAACCTTATGTACATTTCACAAATATAGGTAGGTACAAACTTTATACAAGAGATACCTGAACTTATTCCCCATTTAAAAAAAAATCCTGAACATATAAACAAACACCTATAATATAGAATAACACTATACATACATAATACATATGTATAAAAAAATGTAACTATGGATATGCAAATAAATAAATTGATACGTACTACTTTTTTACAAAATACCTATTTATGTAGGTATCTACATATTTAGGAGATTAAGTTTTATTGACTAATACAAGTTAGTTTGTTTTATTGTACCATGGAGTTTCTCCATTTAAATTGTGAATACAGTTTTTAAGGGTCATTATTATAAAAATAAATCGATTTTTCTAGCATATTTTTAATTACAGACTTTAAAATAAGCCTTTTACTTAATTTTAGACAATCATTGTAGTATGTACATGAAATCATTTTTTTAATATGAAAATAATGGAATTTCTGAAAATTTTTAATTGCTTTACTTAAATTCACTTGCAATTTAAGTAAAAATTTAAGTACAGATTATGTAATTTTCGCAGTTTAAAACATTGCTAAGACAAATATAAATAAAATGATTATTTTCATACTTATAAAAAACAATAAATTTTAAAGTAAAAATTGAATTTTTTTTTCATATAACCACAACTTACTTGGAAAAGAACCTTGTGTGGCTGCAGCTTGATATGCTTGATCGTAACCAGCTCTTGGTGCACTATATGTTGTAGGCGGTGCCTGAGCTACAGCATAACCTTGTGCTGCAGGATATCCTTGTGCCGCTGGAGTCCTAAAATATATTTCAAAATCATTTGCAACTCATTGAAAAAAATTTATCGATTTTTTTTGGAAGACGCCATTAAACTAATAACTCTAACCGGCTAGGTAAATTTTTCTCAAGAAAAATTGGCTATATCATAAAAATTTCATTTATATGCTTACTTTCTCGTATTTATTGATATATAAAGAAAAATTTTAAATATTTTTACATACCCATACTGAGTTCCTCCATAAGTAAAACCACAATAATTATTTGCTGCCATAGATTAGAATAAAAATGTGTCTTTCTTTCTAATAAAAATGTCGGCAACGAATGAAGTTAGCAATAAAACCAACCTGAAGAAGTGTTACCGTCCATATTATTATATAAAAATAGTTCCAGACAGCACATTTTAAAATACAGCAAAATGAGTCAATATAAACTTATTTTTTTTTGCATAATGGTGAATTCATCGAAAATGTCTTATATTATTTTTTAAGTGAATATGCTTTTCGAAGACCTAGTTTTTCTCTATACCATGCTTCTCTCTTCCTAAATGAACGTGTGCCAATATGTGCTACATAAAAACCTAAAAATGACTTTAAATATATGTCTTAAAATTAAAGCACCATTGTACGCAATACTTTTAAAAATTAGAAAACAAAGTATATAAGTATTTTTTAATTTTTTTCTGGATTTTTTGTTGTCAAGTCTTTGGAGAGCATTTTAACCGCAGCCACTTTACATTGCGTTCGGTTAAATGATTTGGCAGCTGCATCAATAATATAAACTCTGATAAATTTAACTTTGATTTTGTATATGTATGCTAAACCTTTAAAAATAGCATCGGTTTTCTTTATTCAGTGCATCGTCAGTTTTAACTGTTAATACCTATTTCAACACGATAACTTTTGCATAAATGATTTACATATACTTTATTCTCCTGTACAAAAAAGGGTCTAAAAGGAAAAATTGAAAATGATAAAAAAAAAAATTGTACGAAATCACATTTTTGTGTGTTAGAGGTGTAAAACACATTTTTAAGGCACAAAACAGGGTGTGCTTAAGTTGTCTGATTTTTTTCTAAAATTTTTTTTTGTGATATATTTTAATTTATTTGAACGAATTTTCAGCAAAAGAATTGTGTCTAGTTTGCTTTGTCATTTTTTATTCATGACTCAACTTCCCAAAGCTAAAGCACGATACTCAATTCTAACCCAGCATTTACACGTACAAGTTACTTGCAAGAAAGTTGCAATACATACAAAAATTTTACTAACACATTGAAATATTTCTACTTGCTTGTTTACTTGCAGTTCAACTTGCAAGAAAATTTTGCTGCCAGTAATTTGAGCAAGTAATTTGACATATTGAGAAATTCACAAAAAAAAATTTGTTGTTTTGATTTTTTTTTTTTTTAATTTAAAATTTTTGAATTTTGTTTTGAAAAAATTAAACTTAGCAAACTTATGGTTTCTAAAATTTATAAACAATTATATATATTGCTAGTTGTTTTCTTCTCAAAGACATTTTCAAAAATTAACTTGCTAAACGCCTACGTCATAATAGCAAGAATTTGACATTTCGAAAAACTAATTGACAATTAATATTATACAAACTTGCATGCAAGTAACTTGTATGTGTAAATGCTGGGTAATAAGCTATTGAGCTATCAAAAGCAACCTTCATTGAAAATACAGGAGCAAGAAATTCAGCATTATTATACAATATCACCAAAAACATAAGAAATCATTAGAAAATATTTATAGAAGCTTCTTATCAATGTGTAAACAAATTTTTTTTCATGAAATTTAAATTGGAGAAAACAATACTTTTCTACTAAACGGCAAGAATGTTTTTGAATAAAAGTCATTAAAACAATTTTCAATTTTGGGTTTGGCTTCATCATGAATGTACATTAATAATACATACTTTTTTAACTAAAATTTTAATAATTTTCAACCCATTAAACTTGAGAAACTAATTTTTATCGATTTTTGAATAGTTAACTAGCGATATTACATATTTCTTAGATATGCCTGTAAGTTTTATCATATATGTGTGTAAAAATGGTCATACATAAATTTGCGAAATAAAATCTATAGTTACAATATTTGATTTATATTCGTCGGTAAATAAAGTATGCAATTTAATTCAACATTTTAGGCATATCATTCACAAATTAAAGACTATAAGCAGTCTGTTGGGAACCTGGCAATTCTTCCTCTAAGAACGCAGCATAGAGGACCTGCTCCTACTGGAAACTATGACAATGATATCATAGATGAGTCACTTTACTACTTCAAAGCTAATGTGTTCTTTAGGACATATGAAATTAAAGTATAACTTTTAATTTATTCAACACCAGTACATATAATCCTTTTTTTTAATGTTTCAGAGCGAGATAGACCGTGTTTTAATATATATTACTTTGTATATCACTGAGTGTTTGAAAAAGTTGCAAAGATGCTCAACTAAAGCTCAAGGAATGCAAGAAATGTACGCTTTAGCTATATCAAAATTTGATATTCCAGGCGATCCTGGTTTTCCATTAAATGCAGTTTATGCAAAACCAAGTTCTCAAAGCGATGCAGGTACCTACATATATATTTGTAAAATTAACAGTCAAAATTATATATTTGAATTTTAGACGTAATGAGGCTTTACCTTTTACAATTACGACATGAAACTGGAAATAGAGTTTGTGAAAAAGTATTTTCAAGCGAAGATGGAAAACCTAGTAAATGGTGGTTATGCTTTTCCAAGAAGAAGTTTATGGAAAAGTCTTTATCAGGACCAGGTCAATGAATATAATTTGTATTTTTAAAGAAGTAAATAAAAGTTTGTTTGTATTTGAAAATTAAAAAAAAAATTTAATTTCTCTTAAGTAACTAATTATATAATATTTTTATTAAATAATACAATAAAAATTTTATCAAATTTTTACCATCCAGTAGTTGTATTTGCCAATCTTCTCATTCTTCGTGTGTTACGATCTTGATCACGTATTTTCTTTTCCATTTCTGCATCTGTTAATGTTTCAAGGAAAGGTGCCCAAGAATCTGCATCGCTTGGATTCCTAAATGGAACATCAACCACTGACAATGGAGCCTCACTAAATGCATAGGTTCTCTGATGCCAAGATAACTGTCCACGAATCGAGTATGAAATTGCAGTTACGAACTCACCTCCTAAGCCCAATTCAGCGCATAGTTTCATTGCAAATTCTTCAGGATTATTATTTTTTTCTGACATGTCCCATTCTATTTGATCGACTAATGATGTGTTTCCAACATGAATATTCAATTTTATAATTACTCTTTGATCACAACTTTCATCAGTCAATGGAAGTTCGTTCGGATGGGCTTCGATTTGATGGCGAATTGCCTGAGCAATAGCCGGTACGAATGGTACTGGATTTAAATCTAAATCATCACATAAAACTTCTGCAAATTGTTCAGGTGATATCATACATTCATTTTTATTCCAAGTAAATGTGTCGCGCAATTTTTGTCCCTCAAGTTCCATGTCTAATCTTATAGGTACCAAAATTTCGGTTTGTGCTGCATTTTCTAGATTTGCGGTTGGATCAGTATCATCGAAACACATTGGGAATGTTCTTACTTTCTTATTATGCACTCGATTTCGATTAATTGGAGTAGCTTGGGGAACTGCGTCCAAGTGACTTGAGTTTGGCATGGTTGGAACCCATTGTGGAGGTTTTTTAGATTTACTTTCCCGAGGTAATGGAGGTTCTGATGTACCTATGGAAACCGCTCGATACCTAAAAAATCATTTATTAATATTAAAAATGATTTTACTTCTTCTTACTTTTCGTCATTCCCAGAAATTATTTCATCAACTTCAGTTGCTTTCAGAAGTGACACAGAACTAGCTAAAATATGATTACTAAGCCCAGATTCTGTCAATCTTTTTCGTTCTTCATTAGACAGAACTATTCTTGCCATACCAGGATACTTTTTATATAGCGTACCCCTAAAAAGCCGCAGATAATTTCCAACCTGCAAATTTAATTATTTAGTGATTTATAGAATTTAGTATTTTCACACAAATACCTCTGATCCAACATAATAATATTCCCCACCTTCTTCCAGCTGAAAGCTTATAGGTTTATCTCCATAAGTCTGCAATGCCATTTATGATCGTTTTTTTGTCTTTTTTAATCAATTTTACTATTTTTAATTTTAAAAAAATGAATCTTTTACAAGGAACTATGTATTTCTTAAAATTCGACGCCAGACAAACAATATTATAATGCTTAATAAATTTTTGTTGTGACAAAACAAAACATACTAGAGATGGGTCAAACTCACTTTTATATCGAAATACTGAAAAAAATGAATTGCTTATAATATTTTATTTATAGCTTAATGATTTCTAAAATATTTCATTACTAAATTAATGACTGAATTTTCTATTAGCGAATTAAAATCTGTAGCGAAGCGAATTAAAAGTAGATGATTACTCTTAATGATGATAGTTTTGAGGTAAGTGCTTTTCTCAAGCCGGAGTATTGTCAAGTTGAAATTGTTAGTTCAGTGCAATGTTAATGAATCGAAAACTTGTTAAATTTTTAAATGTAATTTTATTAAGTAAAATTTAATGATTTTGTTATGAAAATTATTTCCCAAATAAGAATTAGATATTCAAAACTTTCAAAAATTGTCGCATTTTACTTTTGAGATAAATGAGAATGTAAATTTATATTAACTTATATAATAAATATTTTAATTATATACCACTAGACAAAATCTATTGTCAAACAGCGTTTACCTAAACGACTTTCATCAGACTGTGATTAATTCTTAAATTTTTCGTTAGCATTATATAAACATTATTAATCTGTCCATTTTTAAATAAATGTTAATCCATTACTTCAATCATTGTCAGCTTTAGGTATGTATAACATAACAACTAGATTAGACAATTTTAGTGTGATATGTTAACAGTTATCAGACTTTGTCGTAAATTAAATCTTATATTTAGTCGTTCATACAGGTCCGCACCTTAAAGTCTTTCTGTTGTCAAATTAATATAGTTATATGTAAAACATAATTTCATGATAATCTAAATAACTGTCAATGTCACGTGAAGTGAATTGAAAAAAGGGAAAGGAAAGTTTATTTATTTTAAAGTCAAAATATTTAGAAAAAAAAAACTTAAATAAAAATTAAAATTTTCCAAATTGCTTCAAAATGAACAATTCTGTTGAAGATTTGTCAAATAAAATGGAAAAAACTCATTTAGTATGAAAGAAATTATTTAGTTTATTTAAAAATTTCTATTTAATTGTTACATATCTATTCATATTTTAGGAGGAAAATAGTTCACCTTTTTTAGAATTGAGCAAGGAATTAAATTTAAAAGAGGTTTGTAATTTAATTGATAAATTGTATGTGGAACTACTAAGTTTGACTGAACAACATATTAGATGTAAAATTGAAATGGAAAAGCGTCAAAATGAAGGAAATTTACTAATAGCGAAAGCTAGATACATACAAGGTGGGAAAACAGTCTCAGCTGCACAACTGCCAACTGATGAGGGTCCAGAATTTAGTGCTCTAGTTTCTGTTTCTAAAATTGAATCTATTGAGAATTTAAGTAATAAGAAGATAATTCTAGAAAAACATTCTGTTGATAAAAATAAGGGTTATTTGGATCCCATAAAATGGTTTGGTGTGCTAGTACCTAGAAGTTTGCATTTTGCGAAGGAAAGATATCAACTAGCTATCGATTTGATCATAGAAGATGTAAACATTCAGCAAGAACTTTTAACAGTAATGAGCTCTATTGAAAAATTAAAGCACATAAAAAGTATATTACAGAATTCAGAGTAATGTTCCAAAAATATTTTATTCCAATAAAACACTATTGTAAATTCCTAACAATACTACTCCATGTATCCAGAACAATAATTATGCAAAAATAGTTTGAAATGAAATATATTTTAATGCTTTTTGAAAACAACTAATCAGTATTAAAAGATAAACTTTTGCAATTTCAAAATATCATTTAGTATGAAAGAATTATCGGAAGATGTGATTCTTTGGTTTATGTAGGCTAGCTGCTTACCTATATTTAAAAATTTTAAGTTCAGTGGAATAAATCGATAATTGCTTATTCATTGTTTTTGAAAGTCGTACATTTATATCATGAGTGATAGAATATTAGTTCATATATTAGCTTCAAAGATTAAAAAAAAAACATTTAACTTAAAAACGTTTATGTATGTATTTAGAAAAATGAATATGAAAAAATACAAGTTAATTCACATTAAACTTTACAGTTATTAAATTTGGAATTCCACACTCAATAACATCTCCTTGTTTCATAGCGGCCGATCCGTCAGGTGTGCCGGTCAGAATCAAATCATTTTCTTCAAGCGTCATGTATTTCGAAATATAAGATATCAAATCTGGAACTTTGAATATTAAATCTTTTGTATTTCCTTCCTGTTTCAATTCCTCATTATGCTTCAACCATAAGCCAACGTTGTGAGGATCAGATATTTCTTCCAGAGATATTAGTCTTGATACTGGTGTTGCTGTATCGAAACCTTTTCCTATAGACCATGGCATCCCTTTTTCTCTAGCTGATGTCTGTAATATTTAAAAAGTAAACTTTGCTATGTGGTTTCTTTTAACAATTGTTATCTTACTAATTCACATTGTGCCGTTAGATCAAGAGCCAAACAGTAACCTAAATTAAAAATTCCAAAAATTTTTAAATTACATAAGCAACCATTCAAAGCTCACCTGCAACATAATTCATTGCATCTTCTTTTTTGACATTTTTGCAAGCCTTTCCTATAATAACCCCAAGCTCCACTTCATAAGCAACTCTTGTGAATTCTTTCGGTAACTATTGTTAATTCAATAATAATTATTCTAATAGTATGTAAGTATTTATTTTCTTACAATAATATTTTGACCTTCAGTTATATACGAAGAAGTCGGTTTCAGAAAAACTACCGGACTTTTGGGAACAGGAACATTTCTTGCTTTAACAATATCCCTGAAAATATTTTCTTGAAATTATATATAATTATAATACACAGCCACAAATGTATTATATTTTCATAAAATTTTATTTACCTACATATAATTCAGTGCTGCGCCAATAATTTTTTTACCGTCGTTTACAAAATTTTTATTTTTTGATAAACTCATTTTACGTAAGCAAATATGGCAAGACGTACTTGATGATATAATGTTATTAACTAAAAATGCTTTAAAGAAATTGCTTAGTGATAATGAATACATTATGACAGCAAAATATTATTAAGTTAAAATAAATATTATTGATAAGAACGATAACTGCTTGCAGAATTTATAAATAAATATTATTATGTTATGAATAACAAGCTCTTATTACTGTCAGGGGTGTACGTCGTCTGTTGATGTGCAGTTATTTTTTTAATCTACGTGTTGGTGTACAAAGTATGAAGGCAACTAAAAGTCCTGCTTAAAATTATTACAAAATAACTCTTTTATCCTTATAACAGTTAACACTATAATATTCTTGATTTTTGTATTATAAAAACCAAAATGTTTCCACAAACTTATAAATTTTACGATGTCACCAATTTGAAATTATAAAAAAATATATATATAGATGTTGATACATCGTAGAAGCGACAAGAATTACAACATTTTTTGACAGAAATGGTACGTAATTGTAGCAGTGAAATATACATTCAAAAAAGACTGAACTGGCAGCACAAAAAATATCGTCTAAAATTGGAAAACAGTTTGACTTCCATTTTCGCATTCTCCTATTAATTTTCCCGCTAAAATTTTTTAAAAGATGAAATTTTTCCCGTTAAAAATTAAGTACTTTCATGAGGGACAAAAACAGCATTTTTTATTTTTGTGAGTTAAATGTTTTGTAGAAAAATTGTAGCAAGAAAAAATTTTAAATTAAAATATTTAAAAAGTAAAAACTTAGAAAAGTGATATACATATTTGGAAAACAAAAATGAGGTACTGTTTTTTTTGCTTAACTTGCTGAAAGTGTGGAATTCATATTAAGAATTTTTCTTCAAATACATAAGTATGTACATATGTAAGTACAATAATAACAATAAGTACAATATAAATTATGAACTAAATTCTTTTTATATTGCCAATATTATTTGAAGTTAAAAATAAAAACATTTAATGGAGAAGTTTTAAAGTGAAAAAAATTTTAGTGAAGTGGATCAAAAGTTTAAGTAACCAATCAGGAAAATATTTATCAACAGGATTTACGATAAAACAAATTTGGTTAGTTTTTACCGCAATGGTGTGTTGTGAAAAAAAATTCGAAAAAAAAACAAAACTAATACCAGGAGCAGAGTTTTCCTCGATATTTTGCGAATATTTCTTGAATTCCTTTTTGTAAGCTCAATGTCCAGTTGCGACAGAGTAATATTGTGAATATGTAAGTACTTATATTATATGTAATTGTTCTTAATACTTTTGAGCACAGAAATGAATATTAAATTATTATATTATTTACGTACATCATACATGTACATATGTTTGTATAATACATTTTTTATTATTTAAATGTTGAAACCGCACTTTTATATTTTATGGCTTAGTATATTTTAAAAAGGTTTTTACATATTTTGTGGCTTTAAATACAGTATTGTTAGCAGTTTAAAAAATTAAAAATAAAATTAGTTGTATACAAAGAATTCACCAATATAGCCGATTTTATACAATTTTATTTATAAGAAAAGTGTTCACATTTGTCAAAAATATGAATATGAAACATTTGGAAGATGAAGCCCGAAAAGCTGCTTTAAATGAAATTAAAAACATGTTTAAAACGCCATCTCAACTAGAAAAACTTTCTGAATATAAAAGACGAGCAGAAATGAAAAAAGCTTCAGCCGACGCTTTGTTAAAATCTAAAATCCAAAATCAACTCGAAAGTGTTAAGGTTGGTATAAAGCAATTAAAAGTATGTCTTTCAGAAGTACAAGATGCTACAAATAGAGTATATGATGTAAATAATCTATTAGAACCACTTCCTATAACTTATAACAACTTGGAAGATTTTCGCTCAGAAGTAATAAAGTATGCTCAGTACGGAACTGCAATGGAACATTTAACAAATATTGCCAATATAGAAGAAAAGGTAAAAAAAACATTGCAATTTATTGAGGATGACAAACTGTTAGACGCACATCAATGCTTGCATGAATTAGAAATTTCAAGAGATGATCTATTATATGAAGTTCATATAGAACCAGAGAAGTATAGTGGAACAGTTGATAAAATAACATTAAGAAAATATTTTGATAAGGTTGATCTTATACTACAACGTTTACAAGAAAAAATTCGATTAATATTAAGTCGATGTTTGCATATAGTACGAATAAAGCCAACAATGATTGTAACTACTTTACGAATTATTGAAAGAGAAGAAAATTCTGATGAATACGCTTTACAGCAACAAAAATTTAGTGGATTTTTACCACCAGGTCGACCAAAAAAATGGCGAGACATGGCAATGAATATTTTATACAAAGGTGTTGTTGATCGCATAGAAGGTTCAAAATTGGAGAACCGCTCCGAAAAATTGTGGCTAGTAAAAGACTTGGAAATTACAAGAAAAATTATTTTAAATGATTTGCGCCTTATAAAGTCTTTATGTACTCCATGTTTTCCACCCGATTACAACATTTTTCATCAGTATATCAAATTTTATCATAAGGCTTTAGCCAACTATTTAAACAGAATAATTAAAAGTAAATTAGAGGGAAATGAATACGTAACTTTATTATCATGGATTCTTAACACATACAATGGTTCAGAATTGATGTCACACTCTGATTTGAAAATAGATTCTTCTAAAATAACTGGACCGCTCTTGCAACCAGAACAGTTAAAGAAATTAGAAACTGACTATCTAGAAATTATAGAAAGAAATTATCAGGAATGGATGAATAATATACTAGAAAAAGAGAAAGAAGAATGGCTTTCTAAAATAACAGAAGAAAATATGTTTCAAGAAAACTATGGTGAATTTTATTTAACTTCAGCCCCTTTCACAATATTTGAAATGATAAAAGAACATTTAGAAGTAACAAATACAATTAGTGCAGACATTACTTTTGACGCTTTATTATTAAGTATGAGGCGAATGGAAATATTTGCACAAAATTATCGTTCCGATGTTACCGATTTTAAATATCGACACTTGAAAAATTATTACCAAATAAAATACTTTCAAGATCATATCATAGCTGTTATTAATAACAATTTAAAAATGATTGAATTATCCAGACATTTGAAGTTATTGTACTGGCCACAATCACAAGCAAAGCATTATGAAAACTTTAAAAGATTAATAAAAACTTTTCAAACTAATAGTGAGGAAGCAGCAGTGTATTTGGTTGAAGATGCATTTATTGAAATCGAAAGTATTTTTAACGAACTTTTTACATCCAAATGGTTACAAGATCGTACATTAATCAAATCAATTTGTAAAACATTAGATAAATCCTTCTCAAAATTTATACATTTGAAGCCAGATAATTTAACACTTGTTATGAATATAGCACAGAAAATGTTAACTATGAACTACATAAAAGCTTTACTTTCGAAAAGATTATCAAAACAATTGAATGAAATCGAAATAATTGTAAATAATATTAAATTTGATGCGAATGAAATGAAAATATTTTTTGAAGAAATAGCGAAAATAAGTTCAAATTTAAAAATACATGAGACCCCAATTGATTTGATCTTAGCATTATCAGATATTTTAATAGCTGATATAGAACTTTTAGTTTTGGATTTAACAACGCTTTTAGGAAACTATCCATCAATTAGCGAGGATCATATTCTCCGATTATTTTATATTCGCAGCGACATAAAACCAGCTATAATTAGAGAAAAAATTCATGATGCGATGCAAGCAAAGAAATCACCAATAAGCACGGCAAAGTGCGACGATATTTTTAAAGAAATTACTTTTAACAATAAATTGTGGTGAATATATTACCCTCTCTCATGAATCAAAGAAAAATATCAATAAATTTTTATAAATTTTCATAAATAAAAATATCATTTTTGTTAAAACTTATAAATTGGTAGTTTCACCTTTTGATTTAAATTGAAATTGTCTTCACACACAATCGTTGTTTTTTCTTTAATTTCAGAATAATTTTGTAAAGCAGTAAATGCAGAAACCAATTGATGAACTTGAAGGACAAATTAAATCGAATCAGACTAATAAAATTAAAAGGGCTAATTATGAATTTCTATTCGCACTAAATCGAAATAGGCCAAAAACCTTATCAATTTTTGAGATTCCAAAATTTTGAAAATATTTTTCCGCTAATAATAATTTAAAAAATTCCTGTATCTCTCCGGACTTGAAATATTTTTCGGAGTAAAGCGATTTTTGTAAAGAAGAAATTTTTAGTTTAATTATAATAAATAAATGTAATATATCTAAATTTCCTGGTTAATTTAAATAGTTTTATTATATATAATCTTTGATTATATCTAATCAGTTAAATATCTTGAAAGTGCATTTTTAAAGTTTTCTGGTCTCATCATACAATAATCTTTTGGTAATATGCATAGCATTTCAACAGTAAATTATAAATTAAAATTGGCCAAAAAATATCGTGTTTCTTGAGTTGGTTCTAGGATATTTTCACAGAATTTGAAACAAATTTAGGAAGAAATTTCAATATAAACACGATAAACACTCGAAAATTTTAACTTTACTTTTCTACCAGTAATTTGGGCATGGTATTCCATACTAAATCAAAAAAGACTTTCCTGTAAAACAAGAATTTATTTCATCTTATTACTTGAATATGTCATGATGTTGATGACCTCATAAAAGAAGATTTCCTTATAGAAAACTTTAACAAAAGATCTAAAATTAAGGCAAACAAATTTTTCTTTATATTATGTAAACAATATAAATAAAAAATAGTATAAAAAGTTTTTCCCTTTAAGAATATTTTCTAAGGATAAAAAATAAACAAAAAAATTTTTTATGAATTTTTTGTTTTGATTTTCAAAAATTCGTGGAAAAAAAGGCGAAACTTAAGCCGTTTTTTTTTTTTTTTATTGTTATAAGTTTTGTTTAATTTTCTGTTTTAATAGCTGCTTTGTACATTTCTCCATTAACCTCTTAAAAGTTTTATCGGGAAACACTTTTCCTTTTGGATTTCGCTTTTGTTATATTCAAGTGGTTTGTTTTTCTGGCTTTATTTTGTGCTTTTCAATGTCCATGTGTCTTTTAAAAATTCAATTGATAAATATTGACCAATAAGTAGCAGAAAAAATCGTTTACAATTTCTTAAATATTTGATGACATAATCATTGAAGAAGATTTCCTTTTACTTATTTCTAATTTTTTGAATTCTTTAAATCACACACAATGTATTGTGGCCAACAGTTTTTTAATCTGTTTGAATTGATTTTGTAGTGCATAAAATACAAAAGCATTAAGTAATATTAAAATATTAAATCTATCTTCAAAGTATTTTAGATCGTCTATAACTTGTTTAATTATAGTGCTACTTTAAGCATTGAATTTTAGATTGTCCATTAAAAGTTTGAATCATAACGATATGATTACAAATGCAATTATAAATAAAAATGATTTCATTGATCATGAAGACAAATTTCAAAATAATTCAAAAATTATGAAACCCTTAATAAAGAGTAATTCTTGATATTAATGATATACTCGTAAATATTATAAATTTGAAAGCTTATATAAGCATTCAAACTGCCCACTTCAAATATAGAATTAAAACTATTTGCGTTCTTCAACAACAACTTAAATATTTTAAGCATTACTGATCTATAATTAAATTAATTTTTGCAATCTTAAATTGAATTTGGGCTAGCATTCATTATTAACTCAAGTATATGTGTGAAAAATTCTCACCGGGGTCTTGTAGGATCACTGCAGACTTAAGAGGCACCTCTGTAGGCTGCTCCTAAAAAGTTATGACACTTCCAGGTTCTGTGGGGAAGATGGTAAGATATCAGGACTCCTAAAAGAGTGTGTTGCTTTCGCTAGCAGAAAAAGGGAAGTTGCGCTCTTCCGCACCTCATAAGTTATTCGGGTACATACATAACAGCGATTGATCTCACATGAGAGGGCACATTATATCCATACATATGATCGCTGTGCAATGTTACACCGGTTTTAAAGATTCTATATAATCTATAAAATTCCACATTATACGTAATATTAAAAAATCCCGCTGTGATTAAAGCACGAAAACTATGCAATTCTCTTAAACTAAAAAACACAATGATTTACGCTTCACGTCAAACATCCATCATTGACAATTAATATCAATGTTTTCTAAAAGTCTTAAAGTTTTTTTTTTTTAACTCCATTAATAAATATTTTCTTATTAGTTTTTTTTTTTTTTGCGTTACCCATTTTAATTTTTGAACCGTCAATTAATTCAAAAAGAAAAGGAAAAAGAATAATAGAAGTTAGAAAGGAAAAAGGATATTTTCTCAATTTTCTCATTTTTGTTTTTTTATTCTTTAAAAAAATCTTCACCTTTTATCAAAGCACTAATATCAATTTGTCCATTTTGCTTTAGGCTGACATAAAAATTAGAAGTGTCTGCTGGACTGACCCAAGAAATTTTCTTTTCCCTTTTCATTTTTTTCATTATACGCGAAGACAAACAATCGTGAAATTCCTATAGAAAAAAAGGCAAAATTATCAGAAAAATTCATTATGTTATTGTTGTAGGATTTATGGAAGAAGAAGGACGAAAAAAAAACAAAATAGAAAAATAAATTGAATGAAAAATTAAATGAAGTAAAAATGAAAATTTTTTAATATTCCGTCAGACTCACAGATGGTTCAATTATTTTAAAATTATTCATAAGATTTTTCTAAAATGCAAGCTGGGTTCATTAAAAAAAAAACAAATTAACCCCTATAAGTTTAATGTTTTAAATAATGAATCATTAAAGAATGAACACTTTTTTTAGGTAGGTATTTCAAAATCAAACTTTATTCTAATTAAGTATTAGTATTGATCAAAAATTTTTAAAAATAATTGGTAAATTTTCGAATCCTCAACTTTCTAAATGTTTCAAAACAAAGAAAATATTCTTATTTCGAAACAAAAGTGCTTTATGTGAGCTAAAGGATTTTCATTTCGAAATATCAAAGCTAATTTCTTTAGATTAAGATTAAGGCAACTATACATATATATATAAATTTATGTCCAAAGTATATATGTTTTCATAAATTCCAAGATTCAGATTTTATTATCAAAAATGGTATATTTCTTAAATTGATGAGTTCGAAGCCATAATATTTGTTTCACATTTCCTGTCAATAATTTTTATAAGTCGATGAAAAAATATCAAATTAAATTTACTAGGAAATCAAATCATGCTTTTATATGTCAATTTTATCCGTTCTTGAGCATTGTAAATGTTATCTGACCAGCTCGTTCATATTATGATGATTTAAAACTAATTTTAATATTTTTATTTTCACTTAAATGTCAGAATGGAGACAACTAAATTTCAAATAACTTTCCTTAAGAAATAAAAACTTAGCTAGCAACATACCTTTTAACTTATTTTATTTGACGCAGATATACAACAGATACATTATACTGTTTTTATAAATATACGTCCGTGTTTACTTACACACAAGAACTTGAAAATAGTAGTAAAATTTATGACTTATTATTATACGGAAATATGCGGCTATAAATTAATATGCGGAAACATGCGGGTTAAATTTTTCTGATTTATCAATTTTATTTTTAATTTTTATAGCGCCAGAATTAAAATTTTAAATAGATAGTCGCTAAAGTAGAAAAAAAAAATTTAATATGTTCTATCATTTAGTCATAATTAATTGGTCTCACACTTCTTCTTAACGTGAATTTCAACATTTTATACATGTGGTGAAGAGAAAGAAATGTTAAAAATTTATGATAATTTAATCACGATTTTATCTAGAAGAATTAAATATTTAAATCTTTATAACTTACTCGATTTTATCGTGTTTTTACCAATTTTCTCTTTTTTATTTCTATTATTACAATTACAGCGTTATAATTCCTAAGAGCATACTTTTAAACGCACATGTTCAGTTTCTATATTCAAGTCGATCTTTTAATTTACTTCTTTCTTTGTATCTAGTTCAGTCAAATTTTATAATTTTTTTTAGAAAAGTTAGTGCTGTAACCGATAGGCGGATTATAAAACTATATATAGCTTTCCAGCTATAATTATTATATGTGCCTCTCTGTTATCTGTAACAGTCCTTATTTCAATTTATGAAGAGCTTCAGTCACAAATTTTGTGCTTTTTAGGATCACAGGCTAACAAATGTGTTTTGCAAAGTTTTTCAGTATTAAACTTTTGTTTTCTCTTATGAAAATATTTTTTTATATTTTATTTTTCTTTTCTAACATAACAATGGTTCTAAAAAACAATACAATGAGCTTTTTTTTTCTAAATTCTTTAAGATATTTAAATTATGTATGTCTTTTCTAAAATGCTAAGGAAAAAAAATTGTTCGAACAAAAACAACAAAACCAATAAAGACAACGTAAATATCAAAAACAAATCGATTTTATTAAATGCGACATTAGAAAAGAACCACCGCAACATTACATTACATTTATTTTCTTCCTTTGTTTTTCTCACTTACCCAGCAGTAACCCTCCCCCCCTTCCCTAAAACCCATCATTTCTATCGTCCTATTCACTTATATTCTTTCAATTCGCTTTCCTTTTGTGAATTTTAAATGGATAATTCAGTTTTTCTTTTCATTTTCAAAATGTTATAACATTCTTTTTTTTTACTTCTTGTTTTCTTATTCCAAAAAATAAGACATTTGAACCACAATCAAAGTTTTAGATTTTTTATTTTTAAAGAGAAACGAATGCAAAACAAAATAAAAAATATAAAATAGGAAAGATAAATTACCATTCGTTTACCTTAATAGTTAAAAAAGGGCATTAA